TATGTATATCTGAGTTTTAGCGCTAAATAAGATATAGGAAGCCGTTTCTCGCGTTGCTAGGTGATCGTTTCTCTTATTCCTATTTTTCTTTTAATAGACGGTCCGAAACCGGGCTCAAGTTACTTACCGGGCAAGTCTAGGCAAGCCTATTGTTCCTATTGTAGTAGAGTGACGCTCATTATAGAAACCTATTCCAAATTAGTATGGAGGAACCCATTTTTACCTAGCTATAGCTAGACACTTCATTAATATGGAGTAACCCATTTTTTCCCTGGGTTATCACAATAGGTGACGTCATTGACTCGACCGTTATGCATATTAATAAAGGGAACCCACTCCAGACGCCTAGGCACCTAGGCCGTAACAAGGCTTATCTTTGCTGAAGCATTACTACTGACTGCAAGCCTGTGAGAAGTTGAGTTTGATTGAAAAAATGGATTGCCCTCTAAAGCAGCCGAAGCAAGAAAAGCCTGCAGAAATGCAGTTACTATGCCTCCTATCACCTCACAAGGGAAGACGGCGTTTTGGAGAATTCCATGACTGATGTGTTCACAGGCTTGGGCAAGTTTGATCAGTAAAGTGGGAAGGTGGTAAGTTAAACGCTGATAATTGCAAATAATATCAGCGTTTAACTTACCACCCTCCCACTTTTAACACACACAAACCTTACGCAGGAACCCCCTTAATTTGTATCAAGTTTGATCAGTACCACATGATCATTGAAGAATGCGCTGACCCTGTCATACAACCTCCACGTCGAGTCCCACACGGGTTGCAAGACCGTCTGAAAGAGAAACTGGACCAAATGGAACATAACAGGATCATTTCTAAGACTGACGAACCTGCGATCTGGGTCAACAACCTCGTAACTGTAGAAAAGAAGGATTGTAGCCTCCGTTTGTGTTTAGATCCGAAGGACACAGTGTTATTAGACGGGAACATTTCGAGATCCCCACCCTAGGGAGCCTTGGAGGGAAGAAATATTTCACAGTCCTGGACCAAAAGGACTCTTACTGGCAAGTACCTTTGAGCGAAGAAAGCTGTTACTTATGCACCCTCAGTACCCCTTTTGGCCGATACGGCTTCTTACGTTTGCCATTTCGAATCTGCTCTGCGTCTGAGGTGCTGGAGAAAAGAGGATATAACGTGTATGGAGACATGCAAGACATGCAAGGTGTAGAAGTCATCGCAGACGACATGATCATCACTGGCGCTTCAGGAGGAGCATGGTCGCCTGTTGAGAAATGTGATGCCAAGGGCAAGAGAACAAAATGTGAAGTTCAATCCCAAAAAGACCCAGTTTAAGCTCAAACTGACGAGTTGTCCATTTCGAAACCATCATCAGTCCTGATCCGGCTAACGTCAAAGCCATGATGGAGCTACCACAACCAGTAAGTAAAGAAGATGTTCGCAGGCTAATGAGTACGGTGGTCTCCTTTAAGGATTTCATTCCTGACATATCCACAAACATGTGCCCTATCAGGCAGGTACTTTTTAAAAAGAAAGACGTGGATTTCTAGCGGTTACCAGAACATGAACAGCCCTTAATAAGATCAAAGAAATTCTCATCAGCGAGCCAGTCCTGCGTTTCTATGACCCCTTTATAAAGTGATGCCTCATCTACTGGGCTAGGTGCCTGCCTCCTCCAGGGCAATGACCCGATTGGCCTATGCCTCACGAGCATTAAATCAAACTGAACAGCCTTTGATTCCTGATCGAAAATTAGTTATTAGCAGTCACATTTGCCTCTGCACATTTTCACAATTACATATATGGCGTCAACACTGACTCGAAAATTTCTCGAGTCACTGTTGAGAGGAGCAACGTTTTTGACCTTTAAAACGCTGAAAATGGCCCTTCTCCTGCTGCGCGTGATTGCACTATGCAGTATTCACCAGCAGAAGTTTGCAGATCGTGACAATTTCCAGTAACTCCGTCATTTTGTCTAGAATGTCATTGAAACATGGAATATCAGAACGTAAACTTAAACATATAATACCGAAACTGAACATTTCCAGTTGGGCTTTTAATGCCTGAGAGACTACATCATCAGATCATCAGCCGATATAATTCGTTCCAGTTGAAGAAACCGTACCTCCGCGGAGTAGTCTTCAGATTCAGTAACAGAGAACCTTCATAAAACACCCACTCCATTCGGCACTGTTGCATACGCTACTTAGCTTAGCTGGTTTGAAAACGCTGGTCGAGAAGGAAACAATCGCATCAAGCCTTTGAGATTTCTTTAATAAACAATTATTCTGCAAGAAACGATTACACAATGTCCTAATTGGTTCCAAAATCTAAGCTAAACTGGAATCACGAAAGCATAAAAATCATAAAACAAACATGATACAAAGAAAAAGAAACAAAATATTATCGCACCCTCAGAGTGGATCTCTCTAGCTGGTAAGAACTTGAGTATCAAAGAAATAAAAACTATATTCGTTCGTGTCCATAGGCTTATCGCAACTGAAAAACTAAACCTAAGAAAGCTCACTAAAAGCAACTTAAATCAATCTATAAAACTGTCAATCAACGAAATCGGCGGATCAGCAATCAATCAATAAAGTTCTAATACATTTGGCGGAAACTTTGGACGTTTAGACCAAACTCGGAAGTCTACGAATAAGTGCAATTGTGTAAAGATAGTAGTTTTAAGCTGCTTACTACCCATCAGATTTATATAGGATCGAAACAGACCAATAATAAATTTAGATGCTTTGCGAGGTCTACCTGCCGAATATTCTTATTCTAGGAAAGATACTTTTACATGAAAAAGTTTAATTCTTAATGATATTATCATTTTATTTTCAAAAAGTGGGCCATCCCCCTCCGCGGATCCCGTGCCAACAGCGACAAGTCTGCTATCTACAAAGGTTGCACAGGGTGTACACAGGTCTTTGCTAGTCAGACAACAAAGTCAAAAGCCGATACCATGATCGGGGCACCAAGGCCCTACCTCCGCTTCAAATTGCTGTCCCCATGACCGTTCAGCAAGGGCGTAGTACATGGAGCCCCGCCATTGTTGTAGAGAAGCACGAAGCACCACGCTCATTTAAAGTCAAGACTGAAGATGGCCAAATTCTCAGTAGTCCAGTACCTCGCTGAAGCGGCTCTATGATTGGTCGAACCAGTTTAATGTGTAGCAAGCGTAGCAGAGCGTATTATTGGTTAGAAGACAATAGACGTTTTCGTCATCGAGTTTGCACGCGCACCCTCTTGCACGCACACCACACTCAGTCTTCAGTGCGCTCTCACTTTCACCCTCTTCTAGATTTCTTTCAAATCTTAGCACACCCTGAATCCTAACCTGAAATCCGTCAGTTTTTTGTTTCTGCGGCCGGAAACTTTTTAAAAGTACTCGCTGAAGAAAGTATTCCTAGCCCGCATAAAATTTACAGAACATACCCAGTGAGACGAAGGGACAGACGAAACGAATTAGGCGTCTCAGTAAAAATAGATTATGGTAGGAGCCAGGTCCGCAGTGGTGTGCGGGTATGGTGGGGGTATGGTCCAGAGGTTATGAACAAATTTGTGATCACTTCTACTTTTCATTCTTATAACTCTGAATCAGTCAAAAAAATTGAGTACTATTTCAAATCAAATACATAACAGATCTTGGAGAAGGCAGGGCCAGGCTGAAAAATCCACAAATTTTGTGATTTGTAAAAGACAGATATATATATAAAAAAAAACAGTGGTGAACGAAAGTAATGCTTTGTTGATGCTTTTCATCATGATTAAGTCACCCCAGTAGCTTTTTAAAAAGCCAGACAAATGTTGTCAACATGTCATAATGGCGTAAAACAGCTACTCTAATGAGTAAGTACCGTCACACCACTGCTAAGGAATCTTATTCAGCTCCAGTGAGAGAAGATTTACACCTGTGAAGTCGTTAATTACATTTTAGCCATAAAAAGTGCAAGAGCAAATATATTTAATACAATCATTGCGTGATTCATTATTATAAAGTAGTGAAATAGCATGCTGCACCACTGAAGTTTGAGCGCGGAAGAATTTATGCCTGTATTTTCTCTTTTTTTTCTGAGCTATTCATGGCTATTCACTTCTTCTTTTAGTACAATAAAAAGATTTAAGTTTTATTCAGTAATACTCCTTAGCTATAGTAATTAACATTTAATGCGCAATATATGCTCCAAACACAATTTTTGAACTAATATCAATCTGCCACTTCCAAAAAAAACAGTCTTGATACTAAACTCTCTGTATTCATAATTGACACGAAATTATTTCTTTCGCCATTACTTATTTTTTCTCATAGTCACTGCATTCTTTCACTGCGCTAAGTAGAAAGTCAAATCAAGCCATCTTATCTGCTGCTGTTTAATCAGTCCGAAGTATGTTTGACTAGGAGTTTAGTTTCTTTTCTCCTCATAAAAACTACCTAAGCCAAGTGACTGCAGATTCATTACATTCCTTTCATTTCCGATCGAACGTTCCTATTGGTCGATTACAATCACCCATTGTTGTTCTTTTAACCGCGTCCCAGATCGTTGACTGAACTGCTCCGCATGAGCGAATATTCTTAAAATACTTCATCCCTTCTGTGTTTTGTTTCACGGCCACTCCACCTATTGCTTGGAATACCGGTGTAGCTTTGAGTTGTTCTCGTTCAATTCTTGGCTCAGCTGGTCGCCTAATAGCAAGACTGTCCTTTCAGAGTCGACGTTTGCTTTCAGCTGTTGCACCATCTGCGAGGTTCGCGGGTAACTCGTTCACAGATCACATCAACTGTTCTTTTCCTTCATTTAATCTGGTTTTTATTCAACCATAATATTCTAAACTGAGTGAATATCAGGGTAAATACTTAAATATATCTGTTTCTGTGGTATTCATTTGCAGTTAAAAACCCTGGTTTCTTGATTTGCTTGATGGAGTGAGCAACAACGAACTTAACTCAATCCGCGGTCGACGTCTTAAAATTCCGATCAAAACTGCTCAGCTGCCTCGTGATTGTCATCGTTTCAGGCTACTGAGTTATGGATTTCGAACAAGACGACGATAGTGGAACATTCACATTAAGAATAAAGTCCCGTTCTGGTAAGTTAATTCATAAGGTTAAATTTGATTTGAGCTTTAAATTTTTGTAGTAGAAATGTGACATGGCACAGACATTTACTGTGGTGTCATTTACTCTTCGATCGTGATAGGCGTTATCTCGCATGACCGACCTCCGAAAGGCGTCGTTTCAAAAACATCCTTTTTGTGCCTGAGGTTAGATGATCACACCTGTCAAACATCACGCCTGTTTATAGGCAGTAAGCTGTTAATAGCGCAGCTGAATGCAAGTATTTTGGTGGCGGTTCTCGAAACTGCGTGGTTGTACTCCTTAACGAACGGAAGGGGTGCAGGCTGGCTCTTAACAATAAACATGATCCCGCTTTTGTCAGCTGTAAAGACAATTTCTGAACCAAGAACAATTGGAGGTTCATTTTTCCCGTGGGTTTTTTCATTGATTGCCTAGTAGCTGATTTAAGAATTCATCTAAGCGCAGCTTTTTTACCGTCGATGTTTTGTAATTAATGTCGGCCACTACTGTAGTTTGAACCCCGTCGATTTGCTTTCTTGTGAATCTTACCAATACCATTGTAATCTTGTCTGAAATCTTCAGATTGACACCTAAATAAATGAAAAAGTGCCCATTCGTTTACTTAAGATCACTTAGGACAGAAAATGCTGAATAGAGCTTGGTGACTAGGGAGTTACAAATCTTTCCACTTTTTACCCTCAATTTGCCATTCCTCCGCTGTATGTAAACTGTCGCAATATACTAATTTAAGGAGTGAATACATTTATATTGAAGCTTGCTGGTTGTGTTTTAGTTTGGTGTACGATGACTGAAGCTCATCTACTAGTAGTAAGCTAAATATTGACTTCTTCAGACTCTCGAATTGTGAGGTTATCTTTGCTATTTGAATATTTTAAAAGTCTTAAATTTCTAAGGAGCGAAAATTCGCAGAATACGTATTGTGGTGTTATAAAATCTGCTACTTTATCGATGCTTCCAAAAATCAACGTTTTTATTGCACATTTTGCAGAGCAAGGCTTGTTTATTTCACGCTACTCAAGACTTACAGCTTTTTTCCGCACTTTAATAAGCTTAATACATATTGTTTAAAGACACTATCAGCTTATTGAGTTAAATGATTTTAGCTTAAAATAATAATTGTGTTTTCAATATCATTTATTAGAGAACTTTGATCGCGCGAAACCACAGTTGTGATTTCAATGGGTTCATAATTATTTTTTTTTCTGTAGACCCAAATTTATCTATACGAAATTATGATACTATTTATTTTTTAGCTCACGTTAGATTGACTTGAACTGAAGTTATCTGTAATCAGTTAAGGGGTCTCTATAATAATTGATTTGATTTACTATTTGCGTGAGTGATCATATACATCTGTATAATTAATTTACATATCCATTTGAAGCCCATGAAGAAAAAAACATCCTTGTCTTTTTGCAACTAATTTTGCCTTGAAGGACCACTTACATGTACATGTACTATGCAAATGGTTAAAAAATTAAGGTCAATTATTGCTAAAATTTGTGTGGTGGCACCAAAAGGGGAGGGTAGAGGTAGGGGGGGAGGACAAAAGGTTTAAAGGGAGGGAGAGCACCTGCTATAAAAAACCATTGACCTTAAATCATGCACACTATTTCCCTACTAATCTGATAACCTCAACTGTCAATTATACAATTGTACAGGATTGATAAATTTGGCAAGGATTGAGCTAAGCTTTGGAAAGGACATGAAGACATATCCGGTTGATCAGATGCTGATTTGTTTTTAGTTGAGAAATTCAATACTTTGTAGGCTCCATAACTGCAACCAATAAGTTCAAACTTGACTTATGTTTTAAACATTTTTGGCTGTTTCAGCGCGATTCCAGTGAATTTAATTCTGCTGTTGTTCTGTCTAGATATCATTCAATATAGAGAGGACAACGGGAGAACTAAAACTTGCTAAAATGGTGCTGAAACAGTCAAAAATGCTAAGGACACACCATAAATGTTAACAAGGAGACAAGGAAAGAAATTTTCATGACATTTTATTACTATTTTTGACTCCCAAACCCATATACATGTAATATTTCTGTTAAACAACAGTGATTCTCTCTCTTGAGCTTGGTTTAATGTGTCTTGACATGAATATTTATTCACAGCACTTTTCCCTGTGCTTTGCAAACTGGGCAAAATTTTGTTCAGTTAGGTGACAAAGAAGCAGCTCAAGATTTTTAAGGGCTAGATCTTGCCAAGCTGAAAAGAGACAAATCACAGTAACAACATGGAGGCTTGCATCTTGATATGATCCTCCATCAAAATGGACAGAACATGACTTGTGTTCAGTCACTGTTGTGGAAGACTAGAAAGTTTTGAAGTGAAAGAACAAAAAGGGAAGCAGCTGGTTTTATAATACATTAATCGGCTAAATTCCAGAGCAAATACTTTTTCTCTGTGGAAAGCAACTCACCTTGAAACAAAACCGCAAATACGAGATTACTCCATCACCAGAGTGGGCTGGTTTTTGCATAAGCATAAAATGTTCAAAACAAATTTTTTTTCACGTTATTTAAAGAAAAGGACAAATTTTCTGGTGACCACTTTATTTAGTGGCCAGATGGAATGTGTATTTATTTCGGACCCTGGATTGGTATCAGTTCTAGTTTGAACTGGACTAGGTGATGTGTAGGCAGGTAATTGCTACCTACAATATAGAGTAAAACCCCTCCTTATGGCCACCTTGGTAATTTGGTCACCTTGTTATTACAGCCACTTGTTTTTAGCTGCCTAGCGAAATGGCCACACATTAATATGGCCCAATTTTTTTGGCCTATTGGTGACCATATTAACGAGGTTCCTGACGGTACCTTGTTCTTCTCTTCTACTTCTTCTAGCCATCCATCAAATAACTTTCTGGTAAACTAATGCCTAAAACAGCTCATGACTAAGTTAACATATTCATTAAAACTTTATTTGAAACATTTACCTATGTCCAAATCTGTATTTTTTGAACTAATAGTTCATAGGCACTGTAGTATTCATCTGTATTTCTGCTGTTAATTACAAAAGAGCCATGCTTAGATTTCAGTTACAACAATGGTCATGCAAACCTTGGGTGTTCTGCCACCTTTGGTACATTTACATGTAACATTCATTCTTTATTTTAACCTCGTTTTGTGTGTTTTGTTTTAGATGAACATGAGGGCATGCAAAAGAAGACTTTTACGAAGTGGATAAATGCACAGCTTGCAAAGGTACAGTTTTTATGTAATTTTTAAGACAAGGTTAATAATTACTGTAGATATAAAAAATAGACAATGCATTTCTAGTCAATAAGAGATTTATCTTTTTTTCTCGTTGCTTTTATAGGCTGGAAGTGGTCAGCAAGTCAAGAACTTGTTTGAAGACCTGAAGGATGGAACAAAGCTATTGCTGCTTCTTGAAGTTTTATGTGGAAAGCGAATTGTGAGTGTAACATTTTGAAATTGTGAACTGGTGTTATTACATGTAGAATCATAATATCAAATTCGCTGTGCAGTATCCAGTGGCAGAGCCATAGCATTTGATTAATGATGATGACAACAGCAATAAATGCTGTAAAACCTGGCCACATTTTTTCATCAGCAATAGATAATGTTGGGCGTAGGTGCCCTAGAGGATGCAGGTGTAATGGTGTTATTTTCTACATGTTGTGGAGCCCTGGGTACAACCCAGGTTTCCATATGTTGCTTGAGTCGCTTTTGTATTGTTGTTGAATGAAAGTACAAATTAAAAAGTGTGTTGTCTGTCCTTCTGCTCTGAGTACTTTTACATGGTGTCAATATGTGGCAACTCGTAATCTCCATCCACTCCTGCTGTCAATTTAGCTGGAAGTTCACAAGAACACGATTTAGATAGTGTGAAATCTGCCTGTGACCACGTGGTTGAGTTGGCCAGTTGATTAATGTAGCAGGAACTCGAAAGTAAACTTTGAAAGCCGCTATTGGTCTGAAAGCTAGAAAAGCAACGCAGTGAGAGTAGAGCTACTGCATCTTTTGATTTTGCCATGCCACCGAAACTTGAAGTCAATGGCGATGGCAGGACTTTGGCCCAAGCATAAGGAGCTATTAAACAGCCTGAACTCATTCAAATAACAATAAACATTCCACTTCTGCCCAAACTAGAGTTCACAGGCAATCTTGTGAAGTCAATATGCTTTGCTATTTGCCAGTGAGAGAGGGCACACTACACAAGATCCAAGACTGCAACCACGGAGATGCAGCTCTCAATGCCCTAGCAAGTGTGATTAGGGGTCAGCAGTCAGTGATGATGATGGCCGCATCTTTTGAAGCTGGCTAGTTTAGTTTTATTTGTTGCCTTTTTTGTGTGTTTAAATAATTTAGTTTTTAGTGTAAGAGTTCCTGTTGGTGTCTTTTGTTTGAATATGGCACTTAAAAAATTTCACCTTGCTCAATGTTGACTTGTGTGCGTGTGTGTGTATCTTGTTGAAGGGCCATAATTAGTTTTACTATAATGTGCCCTTTTCCATTCTAAATTTTTTTCTTGCTAACATTATGTACACGTAGTTTAAACAGCCTTGTACTAATTAATATTGTACAACTGATATATCATCCATAGGATGGATTAAAAATAAAATACAAAATACAAAAAAAAAAAACAAGGCTGGCCAGAAAGCAAACTTCATCTGCCACCAGAAATTCAAGACTACTTTCTTTTCAAGGACCAGCTCACTTTACAGAACAGAATCGTCTTTAAAGAGGACCGTTCCTTTCCAACTGAGAGAAGAGCAAAAAAGAAGATTACACCCAAGCTATCTAGGAATGCAAGCATGTCAGCAATGAGCAAGGGAAGCCTTTTACTGGCCCTCTATGTACAAAAAGATTGAGCAATGCATATCCCAGGGCCATGTCTGCAACACGTACCAGCACGAAAGAACATAAAAAAAGAACCTATGATCCTACATCCAGTACCAGCCAGAGCATGGCAGTTTTTAGCAATTGACCTCTTTGAGTTATAAGGGAAAGACTACTGAGTGACCACTGGCTACTTCTCCAACTTCTTCAAGGTTGACAAGTTGGTCACACAAGCATCCAAGGAAGTCATTGAAAAGGTGAAATGATGATGGCAAGACACAGGATTCCTGATCAGCTCAGAAATGGTAATGGGGCCCGGTTTAGCTCCCATGAATTCAAGAAGTTTACAGAGTTGTACGAGTTTGATCATGTTACTAGCTCACCATCTTAAACCAGTCTAATGGGAAGGCAGAAAACTCAGTAAAAACTGCAGAATGTATCTTGATGAAAGCACTAGAGGCTGGGACAGATCCCTACCTGGGATTCCTAGACTTTCCTGGACTGGGCACATCCCCAGCGCAGCAACTCTTTGGCTGTCGGACAAAGACCCTCCTTCCTACAGCTGGCAGTCTTTTGCACCATGCTAATGCTGTTGCCACTGCCCAGCTCTTACAAGCCAGAAAAGACAGACAGCCATTCTACTACAACAGTGGCTCTAAAGCACTTCCACCATTGGAGAAAGGAAACTCAGTTCGCATCAGACCTTCAAGCACAGTCAGTGGTGGACCCAAGCGATTGTACAGGGACCAGTGGGTGTGCGCTCATATCAAGTTCATGTATCTACAAGAGGCGGAATGGTGTATCGGAGGAATCATTGTCATCTCCATCTGACAACTGAGACCCCAAGGTCACTACCTCCTGATGTAGAGATACATAATTCTGAACCTGACGCGTCCTTGTTACCTCAAAATGAACAGCCACCAGAACTTGATGTACCGGCACCAGCAGTCAGTGAGCCACAGTCAGTACCAACTCCTGTGCAAGATGTAGAGCCACTCCCTAGCCTAGCAAAGTGCGGTTCTTGTGGAAGAGTGTTCCGCAGACCAGCATAGACTCTATAAGGCCATTTGTTATGCTGTTTCAATTTAGCTAATATTTTATTTTATTGTACTTAAGTATTCTGTGTTAGTTATTATTTTTTGTTTGTTGACAAAGAAGATGTAATGATGTTGATTTCATACATGTTGTGGAGCCCTGAGTACTAGTCAGGTTCCCGTATGTTGCTTGCGTCTCTTTTGTATTGTGGTTGAATGAAAGTACAAATTAAAAATGTGTTGTCTATCCTTCTGCTCTGAGTACTCTCTGTTAATTGGCAACATTACAGATGATGGTTAGACAAACACACTGTATCCATGGCAAGCAATGAGTGGCAACCACTAAACCTCATCCCCCAAGGTGCTTGGGAGGTGAAGGGTCTGCAAACTGATAAGAAAGGACCCAGTGCACCAAAATGAACCTCCAAGCACCCATACCAACCCCTGTGACATCTGCACGTTGCAAATATTATTTGAATAAGGTTAATGTGTTAATGCTCAAGACCAGCAAAATGCAAGTGAAAATTACTGTAATGACAACAAAAGCAACAATTTATTTGTTAAATTTTAATGAATGCAACAGTTTCAATTTCATGTCAGTGTGATGCTAAAAATACCAAAAAAACCAAAGAAATGTGGAGGATTGTTTCAAATATGATGGGGGAAAAACCTTAGGGCTGCTCTTGGCAGGTAAAAGTGAAATGTGGGATGTAATGTGGTTGCTTTTTCTTAAAGTGATCGTAACAAGAGCGATCGTGATCGTAACAACAGCCATTTTTTTCTATGAGTCAAAATGTCAGCTAAAATATTAAATGGCCAAACAGACAAACAAAAAATGCAATTAGGCTCACTCTACATGCACTGCTTGCTTTTTTTGGATAAAATCAGTTATAGACAGTCAAGAAAAAAATTAGCACTTTACATTATTTTGCAACAACTGATGTTGCTCCAGCCAAAACAACACTCAGAAGTTCCAGGAATCATGGAAGAAAAAATACAAGTGGCTAAGGTTTGACAAGGAAGAAAAGAAGATAATTTCCTCACATTTTCAAGGGAATTTCAATACTGCAAAAACACCAGCAACTCCCCAAGGCTCAGAACAAAATAAGTTCCAAACAGACAGCCTAAAAGCACATGACATGCCATGAGCGTACAATGTAGAAGTGCAATGTGCAGGCTAGAGACAAAAACTCTTAAGGTATCTGCACAGGCAAATTTTGCACATTTTTGTATCATTTTTAGTGGTTGTTTTATGGATAATATCTATATGTCACTACATTGACAGTATTCCTCAGTTCTTGAGGAACTAGAATATATCAAAATAAACTATGTTATGTCACCCAAAAGGTGTTAATTTAATTACCCACTAGGGTGACACGGAAAGAGAAAAATCAAAATTTCAGAAGAATCCTTAGAGTTATTGTTAAAAAAGAAATGTAACACAAATAAGGACGTAAGATAGAATAATTCTGTGTTTGACCACGACACAGCTCCAATTAATCCAGCCTCTAGGGCACAATTTGCTATTTTGTAATTTGACCCATATTTTGACATCAATAACTCAGCTGTACGGCAATTCTAACCTTTAGTCAAACACAGATCTGTTCATTAACATGCTCTTTGTGTATTTGCCAAATTTCACAAAGAAATAATGATCCATTCCTCCAAAAAACTGGTTCCCGTAAGTCAAGGTAAATCGGTCACGCGGTAATTAACGCTTTTCCAGTGTGAAAAAGCTTATTTTCTTCTCAAAATCAACTGTTTTTCCTCGATACTACCATCACAGACCTTCTTGCCCGCCATTTTGAATCACCGCTGTGTAAAATGCTCGTGGAAGCCTAAGAAAATGCCAAATGACCTCTCTATAGCCCCCTTGGATTTTGATACGTGACCAGTTGCTAGGTGTGACGTATTTCTGGAAGATGCGTTACTCAGTGTCAGCTTTAATGCAGTGAAGCGCTACCAAGTATGAAGATTGAAGAAGAGTTTTATTCAAAATTGAAAAGAATTGCTTCTGTAAAGTGAAAGAAATTGGCAGAAAAACAGACCAGAGGATTAGGGGCCAAGAAAACGTTTTACTCTCCGGCAAAATTGTCAGAATATATCAGGTGAGAAGACACACCGATGTAATGTAAATTTAAAACAATATTAAGCCCTGGAAAACGGAGTATATTTCAAGAACATAACAATTTTGACAAGAAGCAAGTAATATTAGTCATCACAGCTTTAACAGAAGGAAGAAAATCAAGTTGGACATACAGCGGCTGTAGTTTGTCAATGAATCCAAGCAGTGAATAGATTTTGTTCAGCGCATCAATAGAACTTGATGCTGGAAAGAGGAGTCAAATTGCGCTCCTGCCGTCCATTTTCTTAGTAACGGAAATGGCAATTTTTCTTTAACTTCCGGTAAATCAGTCAACTTTTGAGTAGATTTTCTCTTTAATGCGAAGGTATATTCAAAAAAGAACACCAGATATGCATATTAAATCATCTGAACTTACTGTAGAAAGATTTTGAGTGCAAAATAAAATGTTGAAAATTTGCCTGTGCAAATACCTTAAGTGATTTAAGGGTCTGTCTAAATGTATATGGAGGGAGGAAGATCCTAACACCAGGAAGATCATAGACTGAGGCAGATCATCCCAGTGCTATAATACTTTGTTGTTTTTTGTTCAGGGAAAAAGCTGCCTGGTATTGTTACATGATTTTTGTTCTTTTGTTTTATGTCATCTGTGTCCACTACACAAAGTAAATGGCCCATTAAGGTTGCTGTAATTGATTTATGTGCAAAGGGTTGCTGTGCTCATTCCTAGCTGAGGGAGGTAGGAAGATACACCATAGCACCATGTAAACTGCTTTTGCTTGGAAGATCCTAGTGCTAGGGACAAACCGGACAAAAATGGCTGTGGGTCATCAAGTCGGTAATCTGAGCAAGGCTGACAATTTCATTTGGTATCACCCAAAACCGTTAAATTGTAAAGAACTACCAGGCTAGTAGAGAGAGCAGAAGGGCCCAAATTGCCTGTTTGGTATTGTTGCTTGCCACCTTCAACTCCTTCTCCCCTTGGTAACCATACAGGCCAATTTCTGCATGTAAACCGAACAAAAAATTGTTCTGCCTTTTAGGATCCTCCTGGTGGTACAGTACATGTAGGATCTTCCTCCCTCCATGTAAACAACCTCTAAGTGACCTGCAGTGGCTTTACTCCTGAGACCAGTAAATTTTCAACCTACTGGTCCTGTGGATCACAACTTTTTTGAGTGCTGCACAATAATAATCATTATGTCTTCTTCCCACAAGACATAATTTAGAGGCAGGATTAGACAAGAACCTCCTAAAAAAATGATAGAAAATTACAGTCATGTTAAAAATGCTCTTTAAATATGGTTCAACAGTTACTTCTATGTAAAGAAACAGAAATAATTATATGAATACAATAGCACTGAGAGTTATACTCAATTAATAACATTGTACTTTGCATTTTGTTTTCATTAGAGGAGTGAAAAAGGTCGCACCCGTGTCCATTTTATGACCAATGTTGACAATGCTCTTAGGATTCTAGAGCAAAACAATGTAAGTGGCTACAAATTCAAAAGGTGCTCAGAGTGTCATTGCCCAATGTGACTAACCTTGATTTAATGTCATAATCTCCCTCTATTTCACAATAAAATACAAGTTAATTGAAAGAAGAATCAAGCAGCTTAACAAAAGTCAGAAGGAGCTGTTTTCCAGACACCCACTTTTTTCATATTGTTAAAACAGATGTGCAGCTGTACATGACATGGCAACAGCAAACAATGGAGTGTACTTGAAGAACTCTATAAAGATAATATTCAATTAGTTGGATCAAAATGTCAGCACATTATCCTCTCATCTAAGATGATTCTACACTTATATGTTAACTGGAAACAGGGCATTTGAGTGGTCATGGTAACTAAATGTATGCCTGGATTTCAGCCAATCATTGTACAACTTGTCCCTGATTTGAACCCATTCGCCCCTAAGCTGCCTGTAACTACCTGTGCAAATCCTTGTCCTTTGTACCGCTTGTTATGTCGTCAGTTTTAATGGTCAAGGACAACTTTGTCTGCTAAGTTGTGCATAGTGAAGAGATCCTTCAAACCATACCAGAATCAGCACAAAACGGCAAAATCTCCAGGGGCGAATGGGTTAAGAAAACCATATCTTCATTTTTACTCACCAGCTCCTATATTGTTGTTATGTGGAACAGTTAAACCAAGGCCCTAACCCTAACCCTAACCCTAACCCTAACCCTCTGAATAAGATAAAGAATTTGATGTTAAAATAATTTCCTAACTAAGAGCAAGCGTCAAGATACTCAGTTCTTTGAAAATTTGTTTACCAGTGTACATTTGTTTGTGTAGGTTCGACCAGTCAACATTAGTAATGATGACATTGTGGATGGAAACCCTAAGCTCACACTGGGTCTGATGTGGTACATCATTTCACATTTTCAGGTACAATTATAATAAATTAATAATATACAATGATGTAGTGATAATGTCTCTGCTAAAATAGATATACTGTAAAGATAGACTGTCCCAGTTTTCACTATTTTGCAACCAGTGGCTGAATTGTGGCAGGACCAGAGAAAAGAGATCAGATCTCAGCATGCACAGGGTGATGTAAAGGCACACTCTGTAACCACAGCAGTCCATGATCTCACCTCTCTGATGGCACTAGTCAGATATGATACAGCAGAGACTTGCTGTTTTTAAACAATGTCATGGGTACAATGTACTTTTACAACCCTTTTCAACTGATATGTAAGAATGAAGGAGACAAGGCCATGATGTGATCATCTGAATAGAAAAAAGGGTTTTAAGCAAAGTGTACATGTAGCTTGATCTCACCAGTTCACTAAAGACCTTGGTTTGTGGTCTTGCTGGGCGGCGCTCACTGCAGCCTCCCATTCAGCAGACTGGCACTGTTCCATTTGAACTTTTCAGGCAGTAGATAATGGTAGATCTTGGAAAATCTTGATTAAAAGTGAAATGCTGTAACTTCTGGGAGACTGCATATATCTTACACACACCCATCAATAGCCCATTTTTGTCAAAGTTGGTAATATTATCAATCAGTGTGAATGCACTGTGTATTATAATTGTTTTTGTTCGCCTCCTGCCTTGTCCACTGGAACATTGGGGTTCCTTTTTTATCTTCATTGTCTAGTTGCAACTTTTGCTCAAGAATCTAATGCTGGACTCCAGTTCAGATACACCAGAAGAAAAACTGTTGGTTTGGTGTCGGCAGTCTGTCAGAGGGTGAGACATCATCTATGATTTATGTTATCTTTTTTACAGGGCTTTTGATATTTTGCACGGTTGCGGAGCTGCAAAATTCAGGTAAATCTGCGAAATCCCGCAAAATTCACGAAAACACGCGTAATACCAGGAAATTCGCTAGAAATAATATCAAATACATATCTGTGCGACATATCTCAAAACTTATCTCGGCTATTGGGGCTGTTTACTACCTGTAAATTTATCTTGAAACTTTGCCTCAGAAACAAGCAAACAAATGTTCCAAAACTTGCAGGTATTAATGATGCAAAAAACTGGGCACTAGCCACGATGATGTTAAAAGCTTTGCTATTGGCTCATTTCTCGATGGTATTGTTGTTGAAAGAGCAAATGATTATCTCTGTAAAATAAGCATTAATGCAAAGCCGATTGATTTTTAGCGAAATTTGCCCAGAAATTCCCACAAAATTGGCTGTATTTTATCGATTGTTTTTCAGCAAAGTTTACCCCAAAAAATTCCTGCGAAATCAACCTATTTTTCTGCGAATTTGTTCCTGAAAATCCTGTGAAATTTGCCTTTTTTCACAGCAACCTATCAGAAGCCCTGTAATCTAGCATTCAATTTGCATTCCGTACATGTAAAATATAATAATTGCAGCTATTGTCTCTTTGACTTTTACCTTAACTGCTGTCAACTCAGTATAAATTACCAGGTGACTGCTTTATCTAAGCAGTAATTTCTACTTTTTATTACAAACTGTAAGCAAAATGTCATAGTAGTGTAATGTCAACTATGCAGCGCACGCTTATTGTCTATGTATTTCCACATGGTGTAGGTCATTTTGTGCATACCTAACTTTCGGGAAATAGGAGAGCTGCATTTGGCAATAATAATTTGTGTGTTTGTGAGGAAAGTTGGAGCAATAGTGTGCTAAGTTTTGGGCTTATATCAGTGTTTTATTTTCCTAAACGCTGAGCTAAGAGCTCTGGTGTTGTTTATGTCATTGAAAGCAAGATTTGTCAACTCAGTTGCAATTACTCTAAAAAGGACTTGATGACTGCTGCACTAAAGAGGTTTTGGCCAAATTACAGGCTGAATTAAGTGGCAATTGAGAGGAAAAGTGCTAAAAAGGCAGGAAAGACTTTTTCAAGGACTGCAGCCACTTAGAGTTTTAGCCCAGAACAATTCACCCAGAGGTTTCAATAATAATTGAAGTAGCCAGCAGGTTTGAATAGAGTAACCAACCTTATTATTAAGGGGCCGTTAGACCCGTTCTTCTAGGTCAGTGTGGGGGCGTGCTCCCCCAGAAAATTTTGGAATTTCAAAGCCCTAACATGCGATTGACAGTGTTCCGGGGGCTAAATTGAGAACAGAAGAGCTTGTTTTTTATTCACTATCAATTCTTACAAGCAATGAGCAAATCCCAATATTCAAAATTACATACATTTGCACATAAACAAGTTCTGCGTAAATCTATAATAATAATAATAATAATGATGGTTTATTAAAATACACATGGTGGCATAAAAACTATGAATTACAATGTGCTTACATAAGTTACAACTAAAATAAAATTACATTTGTTTCGGAGGGACTGGGATTACAGGCTATTTGTAAGTTATTCACAATTCAGATATAGATAAAGGACAATACTAGAGATAACTAGACTCGTAAGATTAGTTAATTTTCGCCATTGCTGGGAAAAAACTAGAACCGAAGCGTTTTGTTCTATACTGGAAGCGGCTAGAACTGCTACTGTTCCTAAAATGGTAAGAGTGGCATTCGGATCGCACGGGAGGGAGAAGGTGGTGCAGCTGGCCATCCAGGTTATTTTTGATATTGTGCCACACTTTAAGACACAGGTGGGCGCGTCTATCCTCTAAACTGGTAATGTTGGCTTCTGCAAGAGCCTGTTGATAGTGGAGGTCAGGGTATATGATTCGCAGGGCCCTCTTTATTATTATTATTATTATTATTATTAGATTTAATGATATATGTTTTGTTTACAACATTTTGAAAAATAATAATGCGTCTTTTTCAGGGGAAAAAGTAGCCAACAGGGCTGAGCAAAGTAGCCGACGCATTTTGTTGGTTGTCGGTGCCTTTTGAAACCTCTGATTCACCACAAGCCATAACTCAGAACAGTTGAACATTCTTATTGTTTCGGTGGAATTATTTGTTTGGCATGATAAGTAACATTATTTCAAGAAATCACAATAACAGAGGGAATAAGTTATTGTGAAAGAGTGGCAATACTAAATGTGGCTTTAATCTCAGGTATGATGGGGTAGAAGTAAAGAATTTTACCACAAGCTGGAGAGATGGACGTGCATTTAATGCTTTGATCCACAGATACAGGTACAACATTTTTAGAATCTAAAATTTATAACTTACAGGTAGTCTTTCAGGCAATACTTGCAAAAATTAATTATTATTCTCTCACTTAACTTTGATTTACTAGACTTACTAGTATTACAATACCTAGGGAAAAAGTTTACTTGAAAACACTTTTTTATAGTTACAGTTTATGTTTACTTGAGGACATCATGTTCCAAAAATTATTAATGGTTTTATTTAACTAAAATATTGTTTATTTTCTGATTGTGTTTGTAGACCTCATTTGTTTGACTACAGTGATCAGTTGAACAAGAAGCCAGTGGACTGCTGTGAACATGCTTTTGCTGTTGCTGAACAGTTTCTTGATGTCGACAGGCTTCTTGAACCTGCAGGTATTACTTTCTATGCTCAGATTTCTCATTAGTGATTATTATTCCTTGATTGTACATGCTATTGTACATGCAGCTTGGGAGCAATCTTGCTTTCTTTCAGTGATCAGTAATGATATAATCAATAGCAAGTGATGAAAGTTCTTGTACATAAAAAGTAGTTGACTGTGTGCTGCTGTGCCAAGTACACGTATGTGTGGAAATCTGACAACAAATGAGGGAAAGCGGCAAAAAGGTCATGTATACAGTGTCACTTGTAATTTGATGCCTTTCCTTACCACTCATTTGACCCTCAGATGTAAGAAAAAAAAAACTAATACACTGGCATAACATCTCCAGTGGAAATGCCGGCGGCCTTTAAAATTCTTATTCCATGTACTAAAGAGGATTTTTTAAAGTTTGCTTTTGAGACCTCAGGATGAGGAAAAGCCCACTCAGCATTCTTTTCTTTTGCTAAGAAATAAAATAATAAGACAGTCCCTCTTCAAAATTGATGGTAATGAATTTGAGTAGGAGACCAGTGGGAGCAGTATTTCTGATGGAAAATGGTGTCATTTTTTTCACGGAGTTGAATCATCAGTGTCAAGAATGCAGGTCGAAGGATAATCTGAATGATAATGATAATGACAATGATTATATTAATAATAAATCAATCAATCATTTATTTATGCACGTAACGTCTGGTGAGCTCAATAGAAAAAAGCTCAATATAATAATAATAATAATAATAATAATAATAGTAATAATAATAATACAGACATAGAGAGGTGGTTCTAAGCAGAGACTGGTGTCAAATGTCGTTTAGAATCATTGCAGAGAGCGTGCTTACTGGGTACGGCCAGGATCTTTTGCAAAGTCTTAAACACCTAAGGTCATGAGCAGTGACTTGACATTTAGAAAGACTCCAACAAGCCATCCAGAAGCTGTGTTTAATAATAATAATAATAATAATAATAATAATAATAGTAATAGAAATACAGAGAATGTGGCATGTGAAAACCGTGGTGATCCCTGTGGTTGTTGGTGTGCTTGGTACAGTAAAGAAGGGTATGGTAGAAAACATCAAGAAAGTATCAGAGAGAGCTACTATGACAGAGATTCAAAAGATCTGCATGCTGGGATCTGCACGAATCCTCAGAAAGGTGCTCAGTGTATGAACAGAATCATTGACTTGAGTGACTGACGCTCTAGGTGCATGGTTTGTGCCCGGCTGATGCACAAAAAGAACACCAGCAAAGACTGTGTTAAAAGAGATAATAATAATAATAATAATAATAATAATAATAATAATAATAATAATAATAATAATAATAATAATAATAATAATAATAATAATAACCAATATTGATGAACCAACGTAGATATATTGAAAAACAACACAAACTAACAACAATTGAACTAGATAACATCAAGCAACAGATTAAAAATGAATTGAATGAACAAAACAACCAAACAGATAGTGTAGCAGATGATGTGTTTGTAGAAGAAGCCAACAATTGTTGTGAGGAATCAAATGAAGATGAGATAGAACCATCACAAAATCCATCTGAGATCGAAGAACTAGTTAAAGAAATTAAGAGGGCAAGAGCTGAATGGGAAAACATCAGGATGGCAGAGAGGCCCCCTCTACCGAAGATATCAGTGAACAGAAAAGCTGAGCTGTTGATCAAACAAGCAAACCAAGCAATTCAATTGGTAATAGCAAAAGAGACACCCAACCTCAATAACATCAATTTGTTACAATATGTCACTGCGTATGTGATATCTGAAAAGTTGGGTAAAACGCCAAAACTCCCAAAGACAAAGAGCAATAAACGGCAACAATCAAAATGGAGGACAAGAATAGAGAATCAGATTAAAAGCATGAGACTGATCTGTCGGTACTAACGGACATGGCACAGAAAGGTGAAAGCCAAAAGATCTCCAGGAAAAAACAAAGAATTAAAAAGAAATACAAAATAACAACAAATCAAGAACTGCAAACAGTAAGAGAATCCCTTAAAATGAAAATTCAAGCAAAAGCCCAAAGAATCAGGAGATATGTAAAGAGAAGTAAACAATTCAGTCAAAACCAGATGTTTGCAAACGATAGGAAAAAGTTCTTCAGAAACCTTGGTAAAGACCAGATATCAGTTGAAAAACCACCTAAGAAAGAAGCAACAGAAACATTTTGGCGTAACATCTTGGAGAACGATAGAGAGCACAACCATTCAGCAGAGTGGATAAAGAGGGAGGAGCAGAAATATGCTGATACAGAATGCCAACCATGGGAAGACATAAGCCAAGATGAGTTGCAGACTGTCTTAAAGAAAGCAAGCAACTGGAAGTCACCCGGCCCTGATGCAGTTCCTAACTTCTGGCTAAAGCAACTCACAGCACTACATCAACACCTACTGAATGCAGGGGGACGCTTTGTGTCCTAGACTGTTTACACTGTGCCTGAACCCTGTAGCGTGGTGCCTGCGGGCAACAGAGGGATACCGGTTATTCAAGCCTATAGGAGTCAAAGTCACCGATCTCCTGTATATCGACGACCTCAAGGTTTTTGCTGCCTCCGAGAGCAAGCTGAATCGAGTGCTGAAAGAGTCTAGAGGAGCGATGCAGGACATCGGCCTCCACTGGAATCAGAAAAAGTGCTCAGTGGTACACGTGAAGTGGGGAGCCCAAGTGCTAGACGAGTCTGGTATGAGGATGGACGAGACAACTACCATCACGGCTCTTGGGGAAGGAAAACACTACAAATTCCTGGGGGTGCTAGAGAACGTTCGACAGGATGAACGGCTGGCCCTAGCTTGCGCGGCTAAAGAGTATCTACGCAGGATATCTATTATATGGTCCAGCCCCCGGTCTGATTGTAACCGTGTGCAGGCGTCTAATCAGTATGCACTCCCGGTCCTGCGGTACCTAATGTGGACACAGCATTGGCCTCTATCAGAGTTAAGAGATGTGGACAGAGCAGCTCGGAAGATCATAGTTGAGAACGGTGGCAAGCACCCAGCTAGCCTGACTTCTTTGTTATATCTACCGAGGGAGAAAGGGGGTAGAGGCCTGCGATCAGTCGAACACGAGTACAAGATCACTAAAATCAAATCGCTACTGAAACTGTATCAGAACCCGGACCCGACTGTGGAAGCAGTTAGAGAATTTGAAGAACACGCCATGGCATCAGGCCACCAGTCGCTCGTAAAGGAAGCAGCTAAGTACGCTGAAGAACTCAACATCACCCTTCAGCTTGATACCCTAAATCCCGTGTGTGTTACAACAGATGGAAAGGTGGTAACTGCAGCAAGAGCTCGGAATCTGTAGAAGCAATCTCAAGAGAAGCAGTTCTTGGAGATCGCTAAAGACAAAAAGTGGCAAGGAAAGTTATTCCGTATCAGATGGGAAGATGAGAGCCTAAGCATAGCCAGCTGCTTTGCATGGTTAAAAGGTTGGGCTACATGCCCTACACATACCATCGCGGGCATGTATGAACTGTATGAGCAGTTGTTACCTACGAAGCTCTACACAAAGGAGAAGACGCAAACCTCCACCGACGGCGAAGTTCTATGCAGGTTATGTGGGAAGGTAGCTGAGAGCGTTGCACATGTACTGGCTGGATGTTCCTCCCTGGCACAAACCAAGTACCTATACAGGCATAATGCAGCTGTGAAGATTCTGTTTTTTGAGCTCCTGCGAGAGCATGGGTTAATGGAAGAGGTTCCACCATGGTACTCACCGGTGATGCCAAAACCAGCCTACCAGAACACCACGAGTGAGGCGTTTTGGGATATTCCCATCTATGCAGAGCACAACGAAGTTAGAGCAAATCGGATCGACGCGCGACTTGTCAACCACGAGAGGAAAGAAGTCTGCACAATTGAAATGAGCTGCCCATGGATTGAGAGTAGAGCTAAGAAAGATGAGGAAAAGACACTCAAGTATGGGCCCATGATGTGGGAGCTGAAGCAGAGATACAATGGTTACAGGGTTGAACAGTACAACGTAATAATGGACGTACTGGGGGGTTACTCTATACACCTAGAGAGGTCGGTGAGGAAGCTACTTGGAGCGAGAGCACGGAGTGTACTTGAGCGAATGCAGAAGTCGGTCATCTCAAACACTTTAAACATTGCCAGAACATTTAAGATAAATACTTAGTTAGGGCGCTATGGACTTCAGTTTTTAGGTTTTTGTTTTTTCTCTAGAAATCTAGAAACACAAGCTTGCTGACGTTTTTACTTAGATTTTTTAGAACATTAGAGTGTGATATTATTATAAATATGTTTTTAGTAGAGATAGCGAAGGTTTTACAGAGTATCAGAATTTAATAATATTCTAAATTGGCTTTTTAAGTAGAGAGATTTATATCACTATGTATAAGCTTTTAGTAGAGATAGCGAAGGTTTTACAGAGTATCAGATTTTAATAATATTCTAAATTGGCTTTTTAAGTAGAGAGATTCATATCACTATGTATTTTAGGATTGTATTAGGTTTCGTATCGACCTTTTTTTACTTCTAAGTATAGCTTCTCAAGTGATGTAGGTTACGCTATGCGCCCTATACTACTCATAATGTGGACAGCATTCCAAAGTTTCATACTGCGACATAATAATAATAACAATAATAATAATAATAATAATAATAATAATAATTTCAAGTTTCATTTGAGTTTCATTTTGAGATACACGCGACTTTCAGATCACCTAACGATTAGATCACTTAAGTTGTTAGGGCATAATGGTTTGTGAATTATTAGTGACTTTACAGCTGTAGAACTACTGCAACAAGCCCGCAAGGTCATATGGATAGCTGTAGATCCTTTGTAATTCAATTGGCCATAATGTGGCGGTTGTTAGCTCCATTGACGAGTATAATGAACGTTTACCTTTTTGATTTTCGATACTGCTATGCAGTCTTGTGTGTAAGCTTTCTGAAAACGTCAATTAATATTAATAGCTGTATGTGGTTTAGTGACTTGACATTTTGTAAAGTGGATTGTACAAGAGTTGACTTAACTGCATTTCCCTTACAAGCCTTATAAGACAGGGTGTGTGTTGTCATCTTTACTGAATCTTAACCTATGCAGAAAAACCTGATTTTTGTTAAGTCAATCGTACTGTCAATCCTCAGATGTTGTTCGTGATCGCCCTGATAAGAAATCGATTCTCCTGTACGTTTCCAATTTGTACAACAAGCTAGCCCCGGGTGTGTCTCACGTGACTGTTCAGAGGAATGGTGCACGAACCATGGAGAGGTCAGAGTACACGCATACCGTGTCTAAACGCACGGTGAACAGTACGTACCACACAGAGCACACCGTGAAACACGTCAAGAAAGGATACGACGAGAGAGAACCTGTCAGATATGTCACAACCACGTGTACAACAGTTAAAGAACCTCCCATACAACACTCTGCTATAACAACTGTGGTGAGTTTGTCAAAGGTTTTTGTCAGACACGTATTAAGCCGAATCCTTACGATGTTACATCCACGTGTTACTGTATTGTTACAGTAGAAACGTCTTCACAGCTGTTGGCCGTAACCATTGTGACAAGTTCGACGAGAACCTTTTTTTAAAAGTACAAATAATTTTAACGCCATTTTTTTCTTTTGGTCCTAAATTAAAATATTACCCGCCAAATGGCGAACATTAGATCATGCAAGCGTATGACCAAAACACCTGGTCCCGGTTGTTTAAACGTTGGATAGCGCTATCCACCGGATAAATCACTATCCAGCGGATAACGCATGCAATTGTTTCCCGTAATACTTATCCGCTGGATAGCGATTTTTCCAGTGGATAGCGCTTTCCAGCTTTTGAACAACCGGGACTTGTAGTGTAACTTGCTCTTGAATTCCTCAAAGAAATCGTCCCGAGCCAGCTGATTTAAAACAGTTTGGGATAATGCAGAGGCGGTTATTTGAGAGAGTAGGGTGGTTCCTCAAATCTCGGTCCGGCCGGCAGATGATCTTTACGTTGTTACGTTTCTTTATTACATGTTTTTTTAAGTTTTCTTCCTCATCAGCGTTCTACTGTACTTATTATAGATTTAACTTTGTATTTACACTATGTAGTGGCGAGGTTATAATGGAAAATTTTGTTCATCGTGGTCTCCCGATAAGTTTTGATTTTTCGGCCGCGTATTGCTGGTCTTCATCAAGGGATGATGTCGATTGGCTCTGGAAACTAATGTTATTTTTGTTACACCAACATGTTCGAAACTTCAGCAAATATTGCTGTGCCAATCTGAACAAACTGGTCATTGTGCATGTTCGTTTAGGTTGAGCAGACTCAAAATGCGGAACGTCCTGACTCTATGGTCAGTGAAACGAGCAGTGTTCGTGATTCAGTGGGTTCATTTAAGGAGTGGGAAGACTACAACTCTGCTTTACAAGAAGTTCTTAACTGGCTCTCACAAGCTGAAAGAACTCTGGAGTCACAGCAACCCATCTCAGACGACGTGGATACAGTGAAAAAGCAGTTCCATGGGCACGAGGTAGCTAGTCATTACAGTTTGTAACTGTGCAAGAGAGGGCAGAATGTGCTCTGTGAATGGCGCACTAAAATTGATTTACAGTGCTAATACACAAATGTCTTTAAAGTATCAAACTTTTCTACACTCTTTGCTGGACTTTAATACAAGCAGACTAGTTTTGTCTGAATTTATGGAAAGGGGTTTCCTTGATACCAGGCCTTTGTCAATTTTTCTTGCCAGTTCTCAAATGTTATTCTTTATTTTTTTCTATTAACCTCAAATTTCGCATGCTAGTATTTTCACTGACCCGCATTTAACTGCGTTCCAGGACTTTATGATGGAGCTGACGTCACATCAGTCTGACGTGGGGGCCGTTCTGGAGTTTGGTAACCAGTTGATTAGCGAGGGACTTGTCAGTGAAAAGGAAGAGAATGAGATTCGGGAGCAAATGATTTCACTCAATGATCGTTGGGAAGCGCTGAGAATGGCGGCGATGGACAGGCAAACAAAGTACGTAAGAAACTTGTCATTTCTACACGTACATCTGAAACTGTGATAACTCGCTAGAGATCACCATAGCAACTGAGCCGAACAAAACCTTGTGATGGTGTTGATTCAATAGACTTTTTTTAGCTTGTAGGTCATGTAATGTTTTTTAACAAACTTTCATTTAAAATTTGTGTTATTCACGTGCATACACTGTATGTACGCACAGATCATGAAAACACCAAATGAGGGTAAATTCCTCTGAAACATCATTAATAGTTATCTAGATCTTGACTGTAGTGCATTAAGTTCCTTAACACGGATAACTCTACTTAAGCCGGATCTCGAAAGAATCCGTTGAACCTAGAGAATGGCTGCAAAAATAATCCAGATGCCCCTTACTGAGGGAGGGGAGGGAGGGTACTGAGAAAGTTTTGTGTACAGAGGCCTTAGTTAGACAGCAAAACTGAAAAACGCATACGTTTAATTTTGTATGTAATTAAAAAGTACAGAACACTGTAGCCTATGCTGTTTTTCCCTGAAAGAGAGTTTTACGAGGAATTTTTGTTCTTATTTTCAGGCTTCACTTGCAACTGATGGATCTTCAACAGAAACAGATTGATGAACTGGCTGATTGGCTGACTGTTGCTGAGAAAAGAATCAATAGCGCACAAACAATCGGCTCTGACCTCGACACCGTGCGACGTCAGGTCGAGGATCACAAGGTGATGATTAACATAAAACCTACCACTACTTTCTGTAAGTTGAGAAATTTGGCCTAAATTTTCCACGGTAGCCTCTCCATATATACATCTTAAACCATCTTTCTTCTTTTGTGGTTTACCGTTTTTCTATTCATTTACCACTCGTGAAAAAAGGTAACTTTTTAAGGGATTTTTAAAAAAGCAAAACTTCCTTGCTACAGATGCAGCTAAAAACGTTTAGTTGATGAACGTAATTGCATTTTTGTTTTCGCCGTTAAACGCCAGAACGCCAGAACGTCAAGGATAAAAAACGGTGCATTATTAAGCTATAAGTATTGTGTGTAATTACGTAACGAACTTTTTTTTGCCTTGCTTTGTGCGACACAGTTCTTCCAGGAAGATCTGGAGAAGCAGCAGCAACAGGTTAACTCACTGACGCACATGGTTGTTGTTGTGGATGATAGTTCTAATGAAAGTGCTACCGCCGACCTAGAGGAACAGCTGGCGGTTCTTGGAGAGCGTTGGTCTAATGTATGCAAGTGGACAGAACAAAGGTGAACAAAGAAATCCATTCCACCCCACCACCTGTACCACCCATCCACCCCACCACCTGTACCACCCATCCACCCCACCACCTGTACCACCCATTCACCCCACCACCTGTACCACCCATTCACCCCACCACCTGTACCACCCATCCACCCCACCACCTGTACCACCCATCCACCCCACCACCTGTACCACCCATTCACCCCACCACCTGTACCACCCATTCACCCCACCACCTGTACCACCCATTCACCCCACCACCTGTACCACCCATCCACCCCACCACCTGTACCACCCATCCACCCCACCACCTGTACCACCCATCCACCCCACCACCTGTACCACCCATTCACCCCACCACCTGTACCACCCATTCACCCCACCACCTGTACCACCCATCCACCCCACCACCTGTACCACCCATCCACCCCACCACCTGTACCACCCATCCACCCCACCACCTGTAACACCCATTCACCCCACCACCTGTACCACCCATCCACCCCACCACCTGTACCACCCATTCTAAACTGGCCAATACCGATCAAAACTTCGTGCACTGCTCTGTGAGCTTAATCTAGTTTAAACCGTCTAGTAGTTTGTTTCACTTGTTAATTGTCAGAAGTCCTGAACTCTACAAATTTGTTATTTGACAAACAAGCATACAACAAGTTGGTTTTCGTGATCAATCAGTTAGCCCTAAAAGAATGCCATGCTGACTTGTAAATTGGTGCGGTTTCAGGTGGACTATGTTACAGGATGTATTGAAAAGCTGGCAAGAATACAGAGACGAAGAAAGAAGGCTGTCAAAATGGCTGTCTGAAAAGGAAGGACAGATTGAAGATAATAAGCATATTGATTTGGGTGACTTGGAAGTGGTCAAAAAAGCCCTTAAACTGCTCATAGTTAGTGTTCTAATTCCTTCACTACTGCCTTCGTTTTGATTTTATTTGTGGTTTGTTCTTGTTTGTTTGCGTTGCTTTGTTTTGTTTACTCTTGGGTATTCTCTGTAACCGAACCGAGAGAGAGACTTCCCGGCCGGCATTCTCTTGCTTGTGCCGCTTTTCTGTTCCCCGCTAACTCTTCGCTTTTTTGCGTTTTTTTTTAAGAACATGGAGCAGGAGATGGAAGCTCAGCAAGCTACGTTTGGGACCTTTAATCTTGCTGCCGAGAAAGTTGCTGAGAACCTGGAAGAGGAGTCTCCTGGTGTTGCAGAAATACAAGATAAGATGGAAGAATTCAATGACCGCTGGAATAAAATAACTACTGAGGTGTCCACCAGAATCGCCCTGGTAATAAACACTTTCCATTTCTTCGTGTGGAGTCAGCTTTAGTGTAAATGCTGGTGGGGAATTCTTGTATCTAGTTATTTGATGTTGCCACTACTGTCGTTATCCAAAGAACCCTTCAAAGATTATCGTCTTAGTTGGGCACCACCAAAGTCCAGTTGATCCTCCTTTGTTATGTCGCCCGGCGTAAGACCAACGCACAAACACTTGATTGTGCGTGAATGATGATTGCTGCAAGTAGACGTGACGCACTGGGACAAAAAGGAGCTTTATTAAGGAGCTTGTTTATCGTTTTTCTTCGTTATTTTGACACCGTACTGCAGGCCTTAGTGAGGCCTCCATCAGTTGATAATTATATCTATTTACTGAGCGGGTCTGCTAGTAACACCTTGGTTCCTATTGTGATGATTGATGCATTCCGAATTTCACTAATGATTAGTGGGTTTCGTTCCTAAGCACTGTTAGCATGTTATTGTAAGAAGCTGTTCCCTTGTACATATCCCACACTTCTCTCTACTGGAGCGAGGAGACAGAGTATTTCTGTTGCTGTTCGACTTACGCTGACGGAAATGAACGACGGCTGACTTAGGGTTAGGGTCAGCAATATTTTGACGTCTTAAATATTTCAGTTTCTGTGGAGGCAGCTTTTCTGCTTGGCCGAGCGATTAAAGTGCTGGACTTGTAATCGGAAGTCTCCAACTTCAAACCTGTCTAGACCGCAAGCTCAAATGCCCGATTACTAAACTTTTTAAGTTCCACTAGAATATTTGATTCATTATCCCTAAAAAGCACAACAAGGGGAGAAGATATTTGTTTATTTTTATATTTATTTATTATTTAACGTAAGGTCAAATGTTCTTTATTTAGTTGGAAGGTGTGGATCTGAAGCTTCAACATTTTCATAATGAAGTAGTTGATAAGACTCAGTGGATAACTGATACCGAGACTCTGCTCAAGTCCCCCGCGTTCAACTTGGATGATGAGAAGATATCTAGCGAAAAGGTGGTACAACAAAGCGAGCTTGTGGAGGTAACATTATTAAACTGTACTAAAGTTTGTAACGAGTGAGACTTTTTTTTTTTCAAAGTTACTACGCATACGGAGGAGGAGGCAATGCTCGATAATGCACTCAGAGCAATACAGTGTACTAGCTGGATAAGCTGCTATGTGCACCTTGGACGTTAAAAAACCTTTAACCTTAAACCTTTTAACACGTGCATCAATTTTACCGGTTCCAATAACGCCAGAAGGGGTTATTTGGGCAGTTAACAACGTCAACTTTCACAGCAGAATATTGGACGTTATGTATGCCTTCTTGTACTGTGCAATCTACTTTCTGATGCCCATTACATCCTTTTGTAGTCGCTTGATAATGCAAGGAGACAAAGGAAAACAAGCGTCACATCTGTACAAAGGAAAGGAGAGGAGCTGATTGAGCATTGCCGTAACCAAGGCAGTATACCAGTCACCCTTGAACAATCGCTTAGCAACTTTACAGAGCGGTGGAGTTCTGTAGGCTCTTTGATTGACGACCGCAGACAAAAAGCACAGCTGGCGCGTCGCAGACGTGACGTGCAGGACTTGATGACGACCTTAGAAGTTGTGTTAAAAGACGTGGAGAGAGTCGCCAGCAAATTTAATGCGGATGTTCCTGAGATTGAATATGAAATCAAATCCCAGTTAGAGTTGTGTAAGGTACGTCGATTATCGCCAGACTTACGGAGGTCCATTTGTCAAACTGAATCGATATTAAAGGAAACACTTTGTGAACATAATTTGTTAACGCAACGTGATTTGCTTCTTTTTTCCGAATCCCTCTTTTGTGCATGACCGTTAAAGAAAACATGAACAATTCTGTTGTCCAATAGCCCGCGGAAATTTTAAAAGTGAAGGACAGAAAGGGCATCCGGCTTTCAATTGTAAACATTTCTTCCACAGGTAAAACTTGAAGAAATGGCCACTAATGAAGTGTCCCTGATCAAAGTGCGAGAACTTTCGCGAAACCTGAGTAAAGATGACAGACACACCCCACACCTCCAGGGCGGAGTAAAAAGAATTGACGATCGCTGGTCCAAAGCCCTCGCAACTCTTGAAGACAGGCAAAAACAGCTGACAGCCGCCTTGGAGTCTGGGCCACCAAAACAGTTTCTAAGTACTATGGATTCGGTACTACTGAAGATTAAAAACATGGAAACTCAACTCGCCTCGGAGTTTCTCATCGCTGATACCGCGTCACTGGAAGAACAGCTACAAAAATACAAGGTTAGTTATGCTGTAGAAAACAACTCCACTGTTTTCTTATTGTCGTTTGTCTCTTGAATCTGCTTCTAAACTCAGGCGTTTTTTCCTTTAATCAGCAACTTCAGGCGAGTATGGCAGAGCAGCAACGGAATATGGATTATCTTAACAGCACTGGCGATAAGTTTGTAAAATCTCTTCCGCGACAGAAAGCAGAGCAGCTTCGATCAAAACTGGCGGATTTGAATGACAAATGGCGGGACATAAATCTACACGCTGAAAAACGACAAAATCAAGTGAGCAATCCAAGTAACAAATGTACTGCACTGAGTTAATAGAATCTTTTGAGTTAATAGAATCTTTTGTTGATATTTTAATTTAATTATACCGTAATGTAACCTGTTTGTTAACTGATATCGACGATTATTTAAATGTTAGAAGAGCTGTCCACATTTCAAGTTTCTATTTTATTAGATCTAAGATATATCGGCTATTTTGTTTAATCCTTTTTTTGCATTTATCTGTTGTTGTTGTCTACTTTTGTTGTTTATATGTGGTTGTTGTTGTTGTTTTTTTTAGGTCGGTAAAGCTGTTAATCAAACTCGGCAGTTTACAGAGGAGATCAAAGGTTTGTTTAATTGGATGAAAGACGCCAACGATTTCCTCAAAGATCAAGAGCCGGCCGCTGGGGATCCAGAAACGTTGGAGGCTCAGCTGGATCAGAGCGAGGTCAGTTGGTTCACCCACCTGACCCCCCACAGTTCGTCAAATGCTAAAAGATATCATCAACTGCTAAGTTCACCTTACCATATCCATACGTTGTCCACCACTCAGGTAAGAGTAGGAAACCTGCGGCCTTTTTTAAGGCGTTCTCACTCATCCCCCTTGAAATGACAGTCAAGGCTTTTTATAGTCAAACGCTTGCTTTTTTTAGCGCTTTTCTCAAGCGCGGAATGGAGGTTACAACTTGCTTGGACGGTCAACTTTTAAAAACACTACAATGAGGGTTTTCTTTATAACGGATTTGGTCAGGTAGTTTAACTAACTTCGTGGATTGATGAGGAGTCAACGAAATTGTATTGTTTTAGAGAAACAAACCAACGACCCAAAGTAGCGTGTGCAGTGAGAGCAATTTAAATACTTTTTTAAAGTCAGCAACTTCACAACCTGATCGTTTATTATTCACCAACCACTTTTGTAGGTGTTGTTTCATGAAGGGATGATGAGACGCCATGAACTGAATGCTGTCTGTTTTCTCATCTTCATTACTAATATTATTCGTTCATTTAATCGTCTCATTATAATCACACCATTAATTACTTATCCTTCTGAGTTTGCGTGGACTTATTTGTGAGATAAACATTCTTCGGAGACACGTTAATTTTCGCGCGATTCGGTATAATCAGACTTGTGCCTTAATCAAACTCTTAGCGACTAATGCATTACTCAAACTTTTAACATGTTTAAGCGATTAACCCATCACCTCATCAGCTGAACTTTACATCATCTCATTCTTGAGAAGCACGGTCTGCAGTGAAAGATATTCCTCTTTCAGGGTTCACTGTTGCTGTTCGTAATTTTAAAGGTTCCTTGTTTATTTTACTGCAGAACACTATCTTAAAACACATCAACGCGTCGGAATTCGTCCAGAAACCTGATTTATTCTGTTGTTTCTCAGCAATGGTAATAATTCAGTAGGCTGTAACCATGTTTTTATCACGTTGTCAAATTTATGTGTGGTGTCTAGGTTGTTTTTTCGTCCTCCCTTAAGCTTGTATTGGAGGAAACAAGGTCTTTTAGGCCGACGAAGTATTGTTGCTATGTAGTTCGGAGTTATATTGCAAATGGCGCTGTTTTTTGTTTTAAGGCTCTGCAAGGCGACGTCACCAAGCTGCAGCGCAAACTGGAATCATTGAATGAGACTGGCGCGTACATGATCAGCAAAGCTACGCCTGCGTTTGCTGATAAACTTAAGCGTGAGCTAGACGAGCTTAACGGTCGCTGGGACGAGCTTGTCCGCGTCGCTCTGCGAGTCAAAGATAATTTGGTGGCTTCACTTGAGAAATATCAAAAGCTGAGTCATGACATAAAAGAGATGAGTCATTGGATCATGAAGGTAGAGCGATCTATTGCTGATGATGAGGGAGACACGACTAGCGGTGAAATTACCCAGGAAAAGATGGATCATTATAAGGTACATAACTTAGTGTGTTCGCCACCTCTTCTATCTGTTACCCAATGAAATATGATGCCATACAGCAAGGTGCTTATTTTGTATTTCCTGTAGGAGCTGCAGCAAGACATCTCAAAGCGTGCCCCTGTAGTGGTGCGAATCAACACGACTGCTAATCAGATGATTGAAAAAACAAAACAGGGGAGTCCTGCTGTTTTGCAGGAAACCATAAAAAAGCTGAACGGGGATTGGAACCGACTGAAGACCAAAGTAGCACAGCGGCAACACGAGTTCAAGCAGACTCAGTTAGAACTGGAGCAGTTGAGTGTTTTGATTGAAAGGGACTACAAGCTGATGAGTGAACTGGACCGAGTGATTGAAAAAAGCTATCACGTGCTAGAAGGAACCGAGGCTGAAATTGAGGATACCCTGAGGGTATTTATTATTAATATGAGAAGCAGCTATACTGTACTGATCATCTCATGTTCTTTTCTTATTTGAGTACAATGAGTCCAAGAATATCATGTGCAAAGACCCAACGCGGTGCTATTATTTTAGCGTGTTTGCGTTTCGTTTACTCAAAAGCGTTAACCATTCGTTATCAAAATGAAGCAAGGGTTGAACTGAGTTGGATGGTTTAAGAGTTAACTTTCGCCAAGACTTCTGGGACTGTTACCAAGGACTTACCGGCGCGTCTCCATTAACGATCCCAGACGTCTTTGCGAACCCGGTTGTGTTTCCCTCTTGTTTGTAAAGTGGCGAATGTGAATATGAAACAGTCACTTATTTATAGAGTGTCAGGTGACGTAAAGAGAATAGCTTACTTACGTCACACAAGTTTGGATTCTAACAGGGTGCTTTTTAATGTTCAGAGCTTAAACCGCCAGACTGCTACTATCAAAGAAAGTGGTCCAGGCTCGGTTCCAGATCTCTCCAAGCAGCTCTTGAGTAAGCGTATTGCGGTGACTGTTGTTAGGAAGCAGATGGATTTGTATGAGGTGATTTTTCTCGCCTTTCTTTTGGCTTTGGGTATAGCAATATTTGTATCTAAATTACCACTGCGACGATCATATTTAATTTGTATTTCTGCAGTTCACATCATCATTCTGGGTTTCATTCCTTTCACGGGGTAACATTCCGGAATATCCCTAAATGTAGGAAAAGGGCCAACTGGTCACGCGACACTTTTCAACCAATGAGAAGGCGCGCTTGTGTTTATAGACAAACAAATAAAAACATCGCCCCAGTGATCAAAAATTTTCAAAACAGGAGTGGAAAAAGTACGTGTTTTGGACCTCGGATTTCAAAATTTGTCTGTCAAAGTTCTAGGTTGTCTACCATCCCCACATTCAACATGATGAAAGTTAATCGGTATGACAATCGAGGAAAAATATCTACAACTTCGGAAAAATCTGTCAATCGAAAAAATAATAGATACTTGTTCACGTACCTTGAAAACCGACCAAAATCTCGCCTATACATCGCTTTGTTTAAAAGAAGAAATAAGCCACAAAATGTGCTGAATATTTCACGAGACACTTCCAATACGGCTTCCGATACGCTGTCCACTTAAAAATATGCCTGAGAGCCTCGAAACGATGACTGATTCTGTCCGACTCCGTCCGCAGTTTTGAAAATTTTTTATCACTGGGGTGATGTTTTGATTTGTTTGTTGATAAACACAAGCGCGCCTTCTCATTGGTTGAAAAGTGTCGCGTGACCAGTTGGCCCTGTCCTTAAATTTAGGGATATTCCGGACTGGTTAAGATGAACTCATCAAACTGGCCTTCTCCCAATGTATAGGTCTTCATAGCTCAGTTGGTTGGAGCACTGCAGCACTTGCGCAGTGGGGTAAATTTGCAACTGCTTAAATTGCAATTACCACTGCGACGATTTAAATTTGTATTTCCGCAGTTCACGTCATCATTCTTTATACATCATCATTCTATCATTCAATATTTTATCTGGTAAGCTGGGTTGTATTCGTATGATAGATTCAGACCTCTACGATCAAAAATGCGTCTTTGATTCTCGAAAGTAGTAGTCGTTATACGGCAACATCCACCTCCATAAATGTGAAGGTAAAAGCAGCATGCTTCATCGATTTCTTATCAATAGTTTGCATTCCTCCATTATAACTGTTCCGTACCACTGAAAAAGGCGAGACTTTGACAGAACAGTGACTGGTTTTAGTTAAGTAATCCATCTCGACCATGAATGTGCACTCAAGTGGTTTCAACGTTTGCTTTTCTCAGATCCCCACAAGAAGTCAACCGGCTGTTGCTTTTCTTTAGATGGATTTTTCATTACCTTGTTTGGATCCTTTTGACGCTCCTCACAAAACAACATTTTACACATAATTATATCGGACTGAATTTGCTAAAACGTGGTTAAAGAAATTTCAAGTGAATTTTAACAGTTTGACATCTAAGTCGAATGGAAAACATTGAAAAGTTACTAGTTAAGGTTCAACAAACACAACTTTATTGCTGACAACATCGGGAAATTTCTCTCCCAGAAGGAACAGGATTTTGCAATGAAGTAAACAACACTGGAAACCTCGGAAAATATAACTTTTAGTCTCAGCTGAAAACACAAACATACATACATACATACATATCCTTTATTTAAACACGATATGGTTTAAAGCTCAAAGCTTGTGGGGTCGTGTAAAAATGACTACAAACGGATAAAACTGTATAAAAATAAGAATAACATCACTTACAAAATACAACTACAATTAAAACTCAAAAAATATACAGTAAGATTCCAACCAAAAAGTAAAGAAAGAAAGAAAGAAAAATTTAAAAAAAAATTAAAATCCACAATCTCTGAGCACAGAATGGGCTTTCTAAGACAAAATCACCTATACTAAACACTCACGAAGCGTTTTTATGCTTGGCACAAAGTTTTCTGGTAACACGAGCTCAACTACATACCTGAGATCAGCTACTCTCGCCGAATAGATTTCAACCTTAGGACCTACTTTGTGAGGCCAAAGACTTGTTACTGCCAACAACAAAGCTCGCAACATCCTATCTTTCCGTCTCAAGTCCGGGATCAGTCTTTCACCCGAGTAGCCCGAAATGAGACGAAATACGAGAAGATATTGGTCGCAGTAGATTTGCCAGCCTTGAGAATTGCTCCTTCATAAGGCTTAATGATGCCTTCCTGAAAATGTTGCTCAAGGCAGCCAAAAAAACACTCTAAGACAACTCACTATGAGAGCCGAGTTCAGCCTAATACGCGCGCTGATTTCAAACTGACATACAGAGAGAATTACGGGAAGTTATGAAAAACGTTTTTTTTAAGGGGGGGCGGGGAGGGAGGTGGTAGGTTAATAGCCAGTGAGAAACTCATCAAGGTCTATCTACTGCAGCCTATTCTGTAAATATTCGGTAGAAATTAAGTAAATAAAGTACTTATAAAAAAGAACATGCTCCACTACAAGACTCAGTCAGAAGGTATATGAGAGAGATTTCTATAGCCATGTTTTTGCAAATCCAGTCATATAGATATCTAGTATTTAGTAAAATCCAGCTAGTGGTCTATTATCAATGCTGCGTTCTGATTGGTTGAGTTACTACTAGGCTATATGTTATAGCCCACTACCACTACCACTTCTCGGTATTTTTGACCAACTAGTTGGATTTTACTAAAACAGTTATTCCTCTCGCCCTCATGGCCTCTGAGTTAATAGCCCATTCGGCCTTCGGCCTCATGAGCTATTGACTCAGAGCCCATTCGGGCTCGAGGAATAATTGTGAAATATATAAACGAGTTGATTTTGCTGAACTGCATATATATAATCATATTTGCAGGATCGTTTGTCAGACATCCGTGGCAAGAGTGATAAGACTCGTCAGGTTCTTGAAGGGGAATTGCGGAAGCGACAACAGTTAAGAAAAGATCTGGAAACGATTCGAATGTGGGTTGTGAAGATTGAAGTTCTTATCAACTCTAAACTAACCAAACACGAAGACATAGATGAGCGAGAAATCAAGGTAAACAAATCGTCGCTTTCCGTTTCTTGTACTTTAGTCTGATGTTAATTATGTGAAAGTGACGAGTACTCAAATAAAGGTCAAAGGTTGATTGGTTAAACCGAGAAAATTTTCTGTTTTTAAGTTCAAGAACACAATGATACATTAACGAGGAAATATGAACTAGTAGGCGGAATTGAGACGGATGAGTAGACTAGCAAACTGAACTGAAAATTATTTCATTTCTGTTTTCAATGCTGCTTTGTTTTGAGGGTTCAAGTTTTACCTGGTGCAGGGGTCGGCTTTGTACCACAAGTAACTATTAAATAACTTCCTGGTGAGGAGGGAGCAGTGATCCACACTAAGAAATCAAGTCAAATCAAGTCACGTCTTTATTATGTAAAGGATACATAAAAGAAAACCGCGGTCAGAGGTTATCCTATCGAGGACGCTCCCACCAAGGTTTCTCAATTGAGAGTCATTTTAAAAATCGGTTTTCAATTGCAAACAGCCGTACGATACAGTATTCTCTTTCTTGAAGTATTAGGAATATCCTGGAATATTGTGTTTGTACTTTGTCAAAAAGAAACACCTACGTAACATCTTGTAAATGACTAACGTAAACCAAACAAACGCATTTTGGTAAAAAAAAAAGTCAAGTTAAGTTCTTTTCTCGACTTATGGTCTTTTTTGTCTTGTTATACCAGGCTCTAGAAGAAGAGTTTTCTATGAATCAGTCACTCATTAACTCAGTGGAATCCACTTGCCAGGAACTCAGTAAGACTCCAAAAGGATCTGCTGTTTACCCCAAGCTGCTTAAAGAATTGCAGCAGCTTCAAACTAAATGGAAGACAATTCACACCAAGTTCTCAGAACTTAAAGATCAACCTGGCAAAAAACTTGAGGCTGAGTTCGACACGCTGCACGGACAGACGTTGACAGACTTGGACAAAATTCAGCGTGGTCTGAAAAAGCTGAAGCTAGAGTCCTCAGAACCGAAGAATGTTAAAAGTCTTTTGGATAAATGTGTGGTATGTGTATACATAGTTTTATGAAGCTGCTTAGTAATGTTTTTCTAAAGCTTCAACTTAGGGCTTCGGGTGGCAATATTTTTTTCCCGTCGATATCATCACTATATGAAGAGGATACAAAGAGCTAGGCCAATAAAAGGATGACTTTGTTTTACCTTTGTTTATCTTAACTTATCTTAGCAACTGGAACCCAATGTTTCTCGTGCCGTGGAAAACTCGGTGCTAGCGTAGGTGCTTTATTTTTGTTATTATACTTCATCTGTGAAACAATTCGTCTGTCAGTTACGGAACGTAAACTTTAAAGCTATTTTTCCTACTCCGACTTACTCTTCCGTGAAGTCGTGCTTTCTCTGCTAGCGCAGGTGTTTTGTGTGATCTTGGTGTTTCTACTTGTGCTGCTTATATGAAGTAATTCCTAGCAGGAAACAAAACAGAAAAATATCCAACTGGGTCCGCTTTGTTTGCGGACAAATGTTTAATTGTCTATTTCATTAAAAACTTTAGAATATTCCGTTTTATGTACTAAAATGTAGCTACTATTATATGTAACCTTGGCTCGATAAAGTGCGGTAGAAGACGCTACTATGATCATCTTTTTGTTATTTTTTGATGAAAATTTAAACGTGTTGATAAGAAAAGTGTTGTGCGGTGAGAAGTGTAAAACAACAGTGCAAGAACTCTGCGTTCTCTTTTATCGTGGCTAGTACAACAAAAAACTCAATTCATAGTTTTTAACAGATTAAGCAAAGACTTGGAACAATATGTTGTAAAATCTAGCTTTCATTTATAGTTACAGCGGTCCCAAACTCACGGCAAATGTGAATCCCTTAAATAGAAATTAATATTTAAAAGAGTTATTTGCGTATACCTTATCGGAGACTGCTGCGATTTTTCAATTTTTGTTATTTTGTAAACCTTGACTCATTGCCCAAATGAAGAAGTTTAATGAGGGTTTTTTGTTATTATTTTGTGTGCGTGTGTGTTTTTTAATTATTGGAAGGCAATGGTATTTCTTCGCGGTTTTTTTTTGCGTGTCCATCATTTTCTCTTTTTTCGCTTGTCTGGAATTTATAGAACATTTTATCGCAAACCACAATAAGATCGCAGAACGCACATTGGAAAGTTTTATCGTCTTTATGTATATGATCCCACCTTTTTTTGCGCAAGTTTATAATTGGTAAACTTTTTATTGTTTTGAAAACAAAAAGTGGTAATCCAACAATCGTTTGCATGCGACCACTGCGGTCATTATAGAGATTTCTGATTCTGCTTTATAGCGGGCGTAGTTTTGCTGGATGTTTCAATAATGTTTTCATCCTTTCGCCAGAAATTGCTCTCGGTGGCCGAGGTAAATCCATTGAAGATTCTTTCGTTTTTTCTTTGCAGCATTTTGCGATTCGCATGAGGCTTCAGGGCATTTTAAAGAATATTGCTGCTAAACTCGCTATTGACAAGTGAAGAAGCGTGCTATAGTCATCACTTAGTCTCAGTCTATTTCATTTAGGGTGAACTCATTTACGTTTCACGTCGCATTTGTCCGTTGGAATTTTTCTTTCTTTCTCTTTTTAAAACTTAAAAGATATTTAATTCCACCAGGCAGATGCTGCAAATTGAACGTGCCCTTTGAGTGCTCTTTATAATCTTTACTATTCATGCATGCTTTGAAGTGACCGTGATCTATTGCAAAGATTGGTTCCTATGTGGTGTTCAATTTTTAAAACGAAAGTTCAGTCGGTAAGCATTCGTGTGGGATAATTTCATTGATTACCTCTGCTAGGGAAACGTTGACACGACTATTAACACGAAAGCGCTAGTTGTAAGGTTCCGCGTCTTTTTTCGCATGCTCAATCAGTTTATTGTTTTTGCATTGGACAGAAGTCACAATCGCCAGTATTGAATTTCCTTGAAACTAAATACTTTTCAATTTCCTTTTTTCTGAGATTGATATATCGCTGCGCAGAGTTTTTTCTGCATTTGGTGACTTTTTTCTTCTGTTCCATTTCGTGAGGCTCAAAATCAAACATTTTACTTTTGCAGTATATATGTCCTCTTGAAGCAATGTGTCACCAATGTTTTGTTTTTCTTGCAGTCTTATAAAGATGAACTGGCCACCATTAAACAGGACTTGGACCAAGTCCGGAAACTTGGCTTCCAGATCATGGAGAGAGCGCCTGAGGAAAAAAAGACTGGGGTCGATCGACGAGTAGAGGAAGTGATCCATGAACACAGGGAACTGGAGAAGAAAGTTCGAACCAAGGAAGAGGTGAGTTAGTGTGCGGATTATCTAAACGTGGTTATTTCTTTAATTAACAATTAATTAATTAATTAATTAACAAATTGAAAGATAGGCGGTTGTTTTGCCAACCCGTGGAAATAACTCTGGAAAATTCTTAGTGGTCATCAATTAATCACTCTAAATATACCATGGTGTGTGTGTTAACGAGGAAAGCTCTTTGGAGTCAGTCGCAAACCCTACGAGGATCATCTCAGTACTGACTAAAAGCTCAATCAAGAGTGCTGCTCTGTATTTTACTGATTTTTTCAAAGCAGAATTGCTAAAGAAAATAGCTAATTGTTGTTTGTTCCTTTATTTCTGGCGCATTTTATTTGATTTTTCTTCATTTCCGTCAAATTTAATCCGCTTCTGAGTGCTGCAACCTTTTGTAATCTTCTCTGAAGAGCTGTTTTTGTAGCCTCACATTTCAGAAGCTCATAGCGATCACGTAGGTTTCAAATTCTGGATGTCGGCTTTTTTTCTGATAAAATAAAATACCGGTCTGAAACATTCGGACTCGAAATAGAAGTAAAAATATTTCAAAAAATAAATAAACAAACAAACAACAAAAATTTGTCCTCATAAAAAGGTGAGACTAATTGTTTTTCTACAATACTATGTTATTAGAATCTGAATTGTACTGCGTAAGGAGCATGGTGTGTTGAATTTCACTGATATGGGTGGTAGCTGGGAGAGTTCGAATTAGTAGGTCGACCGTTTTTCGAGCTGTTTTTGATCGTGCTGTATATATTAAAAGAAAAGGAAATTTATAACCGAGTTATTATTTCAACTTATTGGCTTTGCGTGAGTCTTTTTTTTAAATTAAAGTCATATTTTGTTGTGTTGTGATCGGAGGTAGGGTTGGTTGCTCCTGCTGCGGATAACTGATCTACAGGAAATGTGGAACACAATGTGAGGAATAAAAATATTGTTCTAATGAAGCCTTAAACTGCTTGTTTTTTTGTTTTTTGTTTTTTTTTTTTTAATGAAAATGAAATCTGAGCTTTTACTAATCAACGGTATCATCAGGGATGATTTGACAAATCATTTGAGAAATTTTGATTTTCTAATATGTTGGAGAGTTTCAATTAGATAAGCTCTTATTGTGTCTCAAGAAGGAATACGAATAGATTTGCTTGCTAGATTGAAACAAGATAAAGCGCCCGAAATCACGTTCTTGCTTAAACGCACATAGCAGTGGGCTTGCCGAAATCTCCAAGTTGGAGCTTTTTGTACCAAAATATTAACAATATTTTTGCAATTGTGATAGCGTCTGACGTTTAGCTGTGGCTCAGACCTAACTCTGAGGTTTTTCTTTCTATTTTTTTTTTGTATTCAAATCTGTTGTGAGCTAAATTGATCTTCTCAATCGGTAATTGTCCAGTTTACATCGCAATTTTAATGTTTTGCTTCTTTCAGTCATTTTATTATTATTATTTTTAATTCATTTCCTCTCTTGAATTGTCACTGCTGTCTTGCTGATTCATAGGGGAGGCGAGAAGGGATTGTTACAGGGAGGGGGGGGTTAGGGGAATGGTTACGGGGGGAGGGCTAGGAGCATTGTTCAGAGTATTAATTCATCGACCAGTTTTGCAATCGACCTGAAACACGGAAGATGATTACACCGAAATGATTTTAAAAGATACAGGTATTGGAACTTTTTATTACGAGGAGGTCAATGTAAAATTATACTAGGTTTTTTAAAATAAATTAATAACTTTTGGCTCGGTTTCACCGCATAAACCGTAATTATTTTAAAAACAATACTGAATTGAACTCTCCCATTGGATTTTCTTCTTTAGCCCTCATAGATGATATGGAGATAAGTATAACCATCTGTTTTGATTCACTTGGAATTAGTTTTTTCGTAGCATTGTTTCACCGTTTTGTTGCCGGCAAAGTTATCGCTTCGATGTTTCAGAAGATATCACAGGAAGTTAAATGAAGCCATGGTCGGGTTTAAAATCTTCGTGACTAGGGCGTCTGACTGAAAATTTAACCAAAAAACTCTCATCAAGATTGAGTTCACGGTAAATCTTTAAATTTTAATACATCTTTGTGTGTTTTGGATTGCGAACTTGTAGAATTTTGTTTTGTTGTGTTAAGCAGATGTAATTTTCAGAACTCTTTTAAAATCCTTGGCTAAAAGACCAGTGCTTTTGTGCGGTGCATGATGTTGTTCATATATCAAGCCAACTATTCAGAAATGAAATCTCCGAACATACTTTAGTTCGTGTTAAAATGCTAAGTTCAATTCACTTGCGGTCTTTCAGTTATGTATACTTTCTCCTGTATGCTCTTTCTATACAGCTTTCGCTAAGGCTGTTAGATACAACACGTTTGTTACTGGGAATTGTTTTTCCAAGTTTCTTAATTATCACTTCCTGTAAATTATAACGTTACCGATTGAGCTGGTTGCAGTGAAGTCTCAGTAATTTGTGTGTATTTATTTGGTTCTTATTGTCTTTAGTGGATTACAACTGAACTGTATTAAGAAGTAAATAGTGTCGTAACACCCGAGAAATGTGCATCAACATATTCTGCTGTGGTGTTTTGCGTACGGTAAACTCCGTGTAAGACATTTGCTGTATGTTCTAATCTGGGGCATCGTTATCTCTCAGTTGAGTGTTTTGTCTCGTTTTTAGTACTAGTGAAACGCAGGTGTAAGGCCTTGAAAAGGCTGTGTGTTTAGGACTCTGATGTAGTTATAAGGCAAGCCTACAATTGTAGCCCCCGTGATAACCTTTTTTGTTTTCATATGTAGGGTAAATCTTAATTGGTTACTAAAAATCAGAAAACCACATCACGAGGCGTCATTGAAAACGGAAACTGTTTAGAATTTTCTAGTTGTTTTATATTTTATTATTATTTTTTTTATTGTAGCCCGGCGGCTCTAAGCATTCAGACTTTCTGGGGTTAATATATAGCGTAACCTATAATTAAAATGTCTTCGCGGACTGGAGTATGAAAACATCGAAAGAAGAGCTAGCTGATAGATGATAACAACTTAGAAATTACGTTTAGTTTAATTTCTTGCACAAATCATTATGAGGCGAGAATACATGAATAGTGACGTCATATTTGGTGTTAGGCTTTCCGTGAAGCTTTACCATTGGCTGAGCGACTTGAAAGTGATATGAGCAGTCTGGAGAGATGGCTTGATGATAAAACAAGTGAAGTGAGGACAAGAGAAGAAGCTGGCTTCCCTGAGGACGTGGATGCAGAGATTAAGTGGAACAAGGTTAGTTATTATACAGAGTGTTTAAAAAAGCGGGACTGGCTTGGATTTTTTTTCTAAATGCTGTATTGGTTAGGCGCGTATTTTTTTGCCATTTTTTTTTCTAGACAATTGAAAGTTATCTCTTTTTTTTTGTCTTATAGTGCACGTCTTTTTTTTGTTAGTAATTTATACTCTGATACAAAGTTGTTATAAAATACTTCTTCTTTCTTTATCTTTTCTGCTTTTTAAAATTTTTTTAAACCCCCTTTAAGCACAGTTGGAGGAGACACCTGTGAATTCAAAATACTGGCTTTCCCGCCCTGATGACACCCTAAGTGATACTCAAAATCCGGGTGTCTCTGTGGTTTGTTTAAGCGTAGTGATGAAATATGGGATCCTCTCTCGGCTGTTAGCTTTTTTTTCTATTCACAAACTATGAGGGAGTGCTCTGCTATGCCCGATTCAGTCAGCATGAACATAGACAGGATAAACGATATCCGGTAACATTACTCTACAAGTTCGGTTCGCTACAACGCGTCTTACTTATGTGTGTGAAAAACGTGACAGTCTGGTGTATGATGCTCAACGAAATTGTTTGCGCTGTGCGGTTTTACAAAGGAGTTATCGCACTGATATTATTCTGCCCGTTTGCGCCGCATTTTTCACTGAATAAAGTCTTGGTTAACTCAATATAGCAATGTTTACAAAACGAACTTGCCATTCATTCACTTCGCAACTCTAAGCATCACGAAAGACGAAATTTTGAGAGATCTTTAATGAGCGCTGTGAAAAATGTCAAGAAAAAGTTCTAAAAGAAAGATGGCTCATGGATTTATTTTGACTCATTCTAGTCGAACTGGACGTGTTGGGTATTACAAGGTAGTATGATATAATTACTGAACTTAAACTGATTTACCTGTTACGGTATGTTTTGATTTACACTACACTCGTTAGTCAGCCACTAGGCAGGGATTTTAGGCTGAAAAATTGTGTGATAAATTCACTGGTAATGATTTGCATGGTTTATTCTTCTTGACAAAAAACTCTTTAATGGAGATGTTTTGAAAATTTCTTTCGCATCATTTCGTAGTCGAGCAGGGTATTATAAGCTTCTCTTCTCAGTGGTAAGCTCTGAACATTCTTCTTGAATAAGTTCTCGCCGGAAAACCGCATCATATTCCAGCGGCTATACGCTTTAAGAAGCCACTCGTTTTGATACCGTGATCTTTAACTTAGGAGAGAATTAAATTTAAGCACAGTTAATGTGAATCCTTAAGTTGTATAACATTGAAAATCCCACGGTCTTTTCGAAGATTGAACGCGATATTTCTAGTGCAATTTGTTCAAAAGTATCTTGAAACCTTTTCCTGAAAGGGTCTTGTACAAGAGGTGACAGGCAAAATGTCAGATGTACAGCAACTGACCCAAGTAGGCCGCGAGTTGGTAGACCTGTCAGAAACAGGGCAACTGGATAACCTAGAAGACAGATTAACTCGCATCAACAACGCTTGGGAAGATCTGAGTTCCGCGGCTGAGCAGAGAATGTTGACCTTGCCGAAATATAAAGCAAAGCTGGCTGATTTCGAGAAATCTGTGGATCAGATGAACCAGTGGCTAGAGGACATGGAGCGAGAAACCAACAAAGTTCATCCTAAGGAAGAAGAGACTGACTTAGTCAAGAATAAGATTGATGTAAGTTTTATTTTATGAAACTTTCTTTGAAATATATTCAGTACACAATATAGGCTATCAAACAAAGACAACACTTTAAGCAATACAATGCCTTTGCGTAATCCACTGTACTTCTTTCAAACAGATGAAACCGACAAAGTGAACTCAACTTACGGCATCCTTGATATTTTTTCTGTTAGCAAATCATTTGAATAATCTGAAATCGATGTAAATATGTTGTAAATGTATTAGCTCTTGTATTCTTTTCGATTGGTGAACAATATTTTGATAATCTATTTTCGTACTATTTTGACACCTCCAAATCACATGATTCAGTGCAGTCTGGTACTTTTTAAACTTGCAAGAAAAATGTGAGCATGGTGTAGAAAAAATGTACTGTTTGCCGGTTATCTTACCCATTCAGGAAGTGAATTTTGAGACAGCTTCCAAACGATTGTCCACGACAGGGAAGCCTCAGGCAGAGTCGTCACCAGTTCGCCCTCTGATAATGTTTTATTTACTTCTCTTTTTATTGATCATATTACCACTAAGAATAGTTACAAATTTTCTAGTGGTAGGGCAGGCTGAAAATAAAACCACGGGGCTTATATTAATTACGTTCATTTACAAAAGATTGAAACCGTAGAAGTCAATCAAAAGTTGAATAAATAAAAGACATGGAATAATGAAAAATCAGAAAGGGCATTAAGCCAGCTGAGAGGTATAATTAACTTAAGACTATGTTAATTAGCAATATTAAGTAAAAGGGGAAATTAATAGAGACAGTTATTAATCAACAATATTCAAGTAATTTACGACAGATTTGTTTGTTAATGAAAGTTAATTCTTTTTAAAGACATTTTAAAAGGTTCGGTTTTTTTATTCAGTAGGAAGGGTATTCCAAAACTTAAGGCCATGATAAGCAATGGTAAATTTCCTATAATTTGAGATCTTTAGTTCATTGTATTTCACGTATTGTAAACTAAACAAGAATCTGTCATGAAAGCTTATTGGAAGTAACTTGTTCTTGCATGAAACATGAACGGGCCAATCAATAACGTAATATAGATATTAGTTACAATGTACATTGAGAAAGTTATGGGCATAGGAGAATGAATCACTGGGGGCATGGTTGTGCTTTTTTTTTTTGGGGGAGGTAAGATTGAATGAAAATAAAATGGGTTTCATTAACTGGACATCTAGATGCCTTTAATCAGACATCCATTGCATTGTTACGTTGATCTTGGTTGAGAAGTTTTGTTGTTTTATAACCAGGAAATCCAAGAGAGCATCAAGAACCGTGAACCTCAATTGAACCTGATTAGAAAACAGAGCGGTGAGTTTGTTTCCCGCGGGAGGCAAATCATGGAGCCGTACAAGCGACTACTGGACAGACGCTGGGATGATCTGTCGTCACGGATAAAAGAGTTAGAGGAAGAGCTAGAAGACACTAAAAAGAAGGCACAAGAGGCGAGAGCTAAAGGAGGAAGAGTGGAAACAGAAATTATCATTACGGTCAGTTTGTGGACAGTACCACATTAAGACAAAGGTCACAAGCAAAAGAGCTTTTCTTCTCGCATTGTACTTCATTCATTGTTGTTTATACTTCGTGCGACTCAGGAACGATTAATTTCTTGAATTAATATTTGATCAATTCTGATTTCAGGAACGCAAAACCGTGTCTTCTAAGCCTGTAGGTTTGATTGACGAGCTCTTGCAGGGACAAGAAAGAATGGAAACCGACGCTGGACAGCCAATTGTCGAGACGATTACTACACACAGGACCTACACAACCAACAGTGCTCCGCCGCCGAGTACAGGTGCCGAACTTAATTGTTAATATAGAAAAAATATTCAATTTGGGAAACGGTTTCTCTATGCAAGAATGCACTCAAGTAGGTGATTCTGTTATGAAATTTTTTTCCATTTTATTTTTAATTTTAATTTTCCATGTTTGTCAAAATTGATGGAAAAAAGAAAAAAAAAACATTGTTTTTCGGTGGAGCTCTATTTTTACTAACGCGTAGCGTAGTGCTTTGGATCTCAATCCTAAACTGATTCGTGTGATTCCTTTCTCAGGGAGCTTCACTGATGATGATTTTCAAAGGCGGCTGGATCAGATTTTATCGGACGTAAAAGGCCTTGAAGATCTTCTCAACGAGATCCAGTCACCAAAAAAATCAACAGAGAAGGAAGTAAATGAAAAGATTAAGGTGCGTCCACAGTCTTATTCTAGACACTCCTGTGTAAGTGAGAAACGCTTAGCTAAGAAAAATTTAACAGCCTATGGACAGAGAGCAAACAATAGTGGAACACAGGACTCCACAAACACATTCGATATAGGCGAGAAAAGGAGGGTCAGAAAGTATTAATTATCGCGTGCTGTAGAAGTTACATTGCCCTTATGTGTCTTATAGGTAGCAGAGATCCAAATTGACAACCTTCAACCGCGCGTAGCGTACCTGTTAAAGGAGAGCAAAGCACTTGCTAACCGGGAGGGGGGTGCGTGGGGAGATCATATCCATCAGTCGATGCTAGATCTTTCAAGTCGCTGGCTTAAGGCTTGTGACGAGTTAGAGAAGCAGAAGAAGGCTGTTCGTATTGTTCCCAACTGGTATCAGTTCCGAAGTAACTTAGACGACATTGACGCCTGGCTTAGAAAGATGGAACAAGACAAAGAAGAGGCCGTGCAGGTGAGGGGAGCTGGACCTGGTGTTGTTCCCAGTCTCTACACCTTGCCCCAGTTGTTCAAAAGCTGGATAGCGCTATCCATCGGATAAATCTCTATCCAGTGGATAATTGTTAGGGAAACCAATTGCACTATCCACTGGATAGAGACCTATCCGGTGGATAGCTCTATCCAGCTTTTGAACAACTGGGGCCAGAACAATGTACGCTGAGTAAAAGCGTGTACTGGGTGATATTTACAGGTGGTAAGAGTTATCTCGGGAAAAGATTTTTCAGATATACTTTTTTTAATACTCCTTAAATAGCTTTTTGACGAATCTTTTGTATATACTAACCATATACTTATCGCCTGTTAAGTCGCCTTTTCCAGTTGATCATGTTTCTTGTCTTGGCCAGGAGCTGAAACTTGAAGAAGTCGAGGAGCAGCAAGCCAAATATGAAATGGTGTTTAAAAACATCGAGGAACTGGACAGACAAGGAGTCCAAATACTGTCTCCTGGAGAGATAGAGAAACTTAGGAAGCGCTTCAAAGATGTTCACACAAAGTTTTCACAGTATCAAAAGCCTGCAGGAGACAGTAAGTATAACTGAAATGTTTCATGCTGCAAAGTGGGCCGACACTCTCCATGATGAGAAAACTGATCACAAACTTGTATCTTGTATGTCTTTGAATGTTATTCACCCATTTCCCAGTCAGTAATAAGCTACTCCCCAATATTGACTTGCCAGTGAGGCTCAACATGAGGATTTGAGCATCAGACGTGTGAAAAGCGTCAGTGTCGCTCGCTGTTTACTTAAATTTCTGTGTTTTTTACTTTCAGCTACTTCCTACCGTATCACAGTTCACACTGGTGATGTAAAGGATGCGGGAACTCAGTCTAACGTGTCTGTAGTTCTGTTTGGTGAGAAAGGAAAATCACCGAAACTTCGGCTCGACAAATCTGAGACTTACAACACCAAATTCTGCCGCGATCAGCTCGACATATTTACTGTTTACAATGTCCCACATCTAGGTGATTTACGCAAAGTGCAAGTTTGGCACGATAGAACCGGGCCCAAACCCGACTGGTTCGTGAAGGGATTCTACATTGAAGACAAATCAACTAGAAAAGTTTACTTTTTCAATTGCAGCACTTGGATTGGTCGAGATAATGACATGCAAGATATCAAGTGTGAGGGGTACACTCTTCCCGATGGTAAGTTTTTTAGAATGGGTGTGGTGGCGGATCGCGTGCCCTAGTGATTTGTTGTGGACTCAGTAATAACTGTCTACAAGGACTATCTTATTTAATCAAAAGGACGTGTTTATTTTATCGACGTGAAATAAATTTTTAGTAGTTAGAGTAACAAGTAGTTTGAACGAGTTAACGTGGAGGTCGTTGATACAGACTTTCGCTGCTGGTAAATCTTCTTTGCATTTCTTTGTTTGGTTCTCTCCTTCAACCTGTTAGCATTTTTTTTTTCAGAAGGTGAAGATGTTATGACTAAGTCCTCTCTGGCCCGAGTCCGCTGGCAAGTTACCTTAGTAGAACATGAGCCTACAAAGAGTCCCGGATGGAAATTAGTGGATGACATGAGAAAGTTATCAGATGAAGTTCATGAAGTGGAGTTACTGCTGGAGTCACGTGAGTTACAGAAGGCGGATTTCGAAGACTTCTCTAAACAGGAGGATAAATTGAAGGTAAGTTGCTCAGAGTTCTCAAGTGGCACCAAAGTTGAGCGTTTGTTTGGGGAAACAACTCCATTAATACTCTCAAGTGGAAGGTTTTAGTTCAGTACACAATCTAAATTGTAAGAACTACTTGAAAACCTGAAAAAAAATATATGGTATTCAAGCGGCCCAGACAGAAAAGGTGTCACGTATATATAAATGAAGAATTGAACAGGTTAAGGAAAGGATCTTTCTCGGAGTAAACTTATACTTTTATACTCTGAGGAACTGGCCCAATATCTATAGGCCTTATTATGGTTTCTTTTTAGGCTTCCTTACCACATTGCATCTGTGATCGAATAAATAAACTAAACTAAATTAAACTACTTAGTACTTTAGAAAGACAAGATTGTTCTCATGCCTTAAATAGCATTGTTTGAACAGACCTATCTATCCGTTTTGCGACTATTACTGATCTGATTAAAATTTATGCTTCCTCCACAGCTGATTGGAGAGAAGATCGAGGATCTTGATCCACGTGCATCAGAGGTTCTGTCTCGCAGCGAATCAGTTCAGTCGGCTTGCAATGAAAAAGAATACGAAGCTGTGAAGAGGGCTGCCAGCAAATTTAGGCTTCAGTGGAACAATCTGAACCAGGTAGATACTGCATGGCGCTAATTTAGTTCTATGTAAAGTTTTACTTTATACCTCAGACTTTTTCAACCTTTTGTTGGTCCGTGACGCTTGCATTGACAACCGTTTCATTATATAGAACAATGAGGAGAACTTATGGTTTGAATTTGTCGTTGCTCTTGTCAGGACTACAAAGCTCGCTTGCTTCGCTGGGAAAAAGCAGTCGCCGTGTGGCGACAGTTCCATTGCGACCTAAAGGACGTGACCTCATGGATGACGAATGCGGAAAAAGTTCTAGAAGATACGTCCGGGGAAAGTGAATTTAATACTGCGAAGAAGGAACAAAAGGTAGGTTTGAAAAAGGTACATTGTCATCAAAAATAATATGTTAAGCAGTACAGAGACTTCAAAGGTTACTGAACTGATCTTTGCATGTATAATAACACATATTATTACATAACGCATGTACACTCGCTACATTCGTGGAGTGCTTACTAGTCTCGTTGGGGCAAGATTGTTTGTATAAAAAAACAAAGGAACCAAGACGAAAGAAGAGCTTTTGGCTGATTCAGACTTGAAAGTTATGTGGTAACTTCCGTGGAATCTCACTGTGTTGTCCTTCAAATCTTTTACTGCTCTTATCTTTATCTTTGTCATGGATTTTGTAAAAATGTTTGAGTTACAGCCCTAATTTTTGTAAAATTCACTTGCTGCCTTTTCCAGGGATTAGAGGATGGTATTGCTCGTCATCAGAGCACAGTGAACGCCATGAATACAGCGGGACAAGAGATTATCAGCAAGTCAACAACCATAGAGGCTGAAATGTTGCGTGATAAATTGGCCACACAAAATCGACGCTGGGAGTCCATCTGTAATCACGTGACGGACAGAAGAGACAGGTAAAGTCTTGATTGACAGTTGATTGAGATAAGCGTTCTAAAATTGATTTTATTGATACTTAATCGGCAGTATAGATGAAAACCCTAAATCGCCACAGCTCGCTGCAAAAAAACGGGAAGGATTTCTTATTCACATCATTAAAAAAACCCTGTTCAACAAACAAAATAGTATTTATTTTTCCTTCCCTTGAAGGTTTAAAGAAGAGGCAATGCAGATTGAAGAGTTCTTGGAAGAAAGCGCGGACATGTTGCAGTGGATGGACGAGGCTGACACTATTTTGCAAACAAAAGACCCATCACCTGCTGATGAAGATGCTCTGGAAGAACTCATTGAAAAGATCAAGGTATGAACGGCAACAGGATCAGCTGTTTGGTTTGAAATCATCTTTTTCTAAGTTTCTCTAAGGGCAAAATTTTCTCCTCTTGGTATTGATAACTAAAGTTTTCTTTGTTGACTAAGGATCATGTGCCTGTCATTTTCGTAGGATGTACAGAAAGAGCAAGACAGTAGAGAAGATTCCAAGAACAGCATCCAACAGACAGGAGAACGACTTTTAGCCAAGCCCAACATATCTAAACCCAACTCTGAAACAATTCAAACACGTCTGGATATCCTGCTCACTCGCTGGGATATTCTGCGTGCAGACATCGCCACGCGCACTCGAGGCGTCGAGTCTAAAGTCAGACGCGTGTCAGAATTTTTAGGAAGCCTAGAAGAGCTAAGCTCCTGGGCTGCAACTACAAGAGAGTTACTTGAAAAGCAGGAAGGAGGCATCTATAATCAAGAGATTGTTGATCCTAAGGTTTGTTATCTAATACAGCTTGCTGGATCTTCGATAAATCTCTTGAAAAGGAATCCAAGTATAAATCAGCAGCTTGTATTGTTAAGCAGTTTTTGCGCATAGTTTTGACTTTTCAGTTTCCACAAGGGAGAGCCTTTGAAAGAGGACATGGATATTTAGGTGCTATTTTAAGAGTAATTGGTGAGAAGAAAGTGGAATTAAATTTCTCGAGCAATTCTGTTGGTTTCTTGTTTCGCCTACTCAAAGGTAGTGGTAACTGTCGTGAGTACTTATTACTAGCCAAGCTTAACTATCAAAGTTCCCCAAAATCTATAAGGTTCCTGTTTTCGTATACTTTATTTCAGTACCTTATCATATAAACCTAGCGAATTCTAATTAAATTACGTCATTCTTTTTTCCAGACTGTCCAGGAATCTCTTAAATCTCGGCAACCAAAGCTAGACTCTATCAATGAGAGTATGGCTCGGTACAGACGTGAAAGCAAACTCGATGGAAACCAAGTTCCAAAGCCTCTTGAAGCCAAGGTGAAGGGTCTTAATGATGACTGGAGCCACATTGCATCACTAACAGCTGATATGTTTGCAGCCCGTGTTCGATCACCTCGTAAACTAGTTGAGGAGACTGTTGTTGAAGTAAATCAACACACTCTTCATGCCGAGGTACCAATCATCGTAGAAGACTGGAGTGAGGGTACGGTTCATTGTTTTTATTATTGTTAAAGCGGACTTAAAAGAGTGTTAGGGGTTAACTCGAAAACCTCGCGGTTCCTTTAGCCTTTAGGCTCCAAATAATTAAGTACTATTCCCTGTTATCCCATTGTAAATTTGTAATGTATATAACATTTTCCTTGTAATAATTCTAAGTGTGAGTCAATAAAAGATTGTTGTTGTTGTTCTATTCGCGGATTGCTCTTTGACTTTTGAGGGATAAGAGTTAATATCGCAAAGTACACAAAAATGCATCTTTAAAATTGCTGGATAAGTAAATTGTTGTATCTGTTTTGCGAAAACCCCAATAACGTGATAACATGTCAAACATTTCTGAAAAGACTTCTAGTCCTTTCTCACAAAGCGTTATGTTTGTCGTTTCAGAGAAAGCATCACCATGGCCTAAGTTCGATAAAGCTGTGTCCGAACTGCACGACTGGCTTAACACGCTATCAAACATGATGAAAACCGAGAAGATTGTTTTGGGAGATTCAGAAGACATGGAGGGACTTTTGGAGAAGCAAAAGGTACTAAACCATCGTCACAGGATAAATACAAGACGCTTTCAGTAATATTTTGGATTTGATGGAAATGCGACTTTTGGTTTTCTACGGTCTTACAATCCTTTTTACAGTTGTCTTTTTCCATACGTCCTGCGTAATCGCGTCAGTTTTAACGATACTTAGTTCACTTTTTAGGATTGCTGAAACAACATATTTGTATTCGACACAAATTATATTAAGCGTATGTCATTTCAGTCGATAGACGAGCAACTTAAAACAAAGCAGCACCTATTGGACGAGATAGCAGAGATGGGACACACGCTGGCTGAAGACGCACAGACTGAGGAAGACAAGTTCCTTATTGACGGCAAGGTAGGTCTTGACGTCGTACGCACCAATATGTGATAGTACGACGGAAGCAGAGGAAACCAAAAAAAAAAGTGACTGATTGAATCAATGGGTGAAGAACCCTCATTTGCATGTAGATAGGACCTGACCAGATGGATAATTAAGAGTTGGGCTATGTCCAGACTATACAGGATAGTATAGTATGAATCAGACCTGTTCACATGGCATGAAAGAGTTGCTTAGAAACCTATCCGATATGTGATGAGCCACGCAGCCTCATGTGTGAACAGAAGCAGAAGCCCTATCCGATGTGGTTACCGTAACGGCGAAATGCTATCCAGTATGGTGTAGACATAAGTATAACCTAATTAATTCTGACCTTTCGTTACACTTTTTCCAAATACGATTCTTCTAGGACATCAAATATTGCCAATTCTGGCCTTATTGTCGCGCTTTGTACTGCGTGATTATGGAACTTGCGTATTTCAGGTCAGCAAGTTGAAAGGTCATTGGGAGACTATTGAAAATAACTCGGGAGTGTGGCGAGGACAAATTGATTACCTAATTGAAGAGTGGAAGAGGTTCGTTGAGCTTCGGGAAGAGCTTCTCGAATGGATCCGGAAAGCCGAGGCTTACCTGAATGAGGACGAAAATGTGTATGGGTACACGGTTAGCGAGTTGGAAGAGAAAATTGATAAACACAAGGTAAATTAAATTCACCTGTAGTAGTCGTCACGTAACGAGCTCAGTAATCGATTCCAAGAAATAAAGCGAGCCCAACTTCTGGTGAACTTGGTCTTGAAATACTTAATATACAGCGAATCTTGAAGTATAAATGTTTTGCAGTAAAAATGTTAAACTACCTTGGTGTTTTTTGGTGTGGCGGAAACTCTCATTCACAATTTGCACCAACACCATAAAGCATCTTATTTACCTCCCTCCCCCCCCCCAAATTGTCTTTAATCTTTTTTTTGCGACGACTGTAATACCCAGGAGAAATTGGAAACAATGATTGTCTAAAATTTTGAGAGGTAAAGAAGGAGCATTATGGTCTCGCTAAAAAAAGTGAATTAGTTCGCTTTTGAAAGAGTTAGCGTGGTTGAGTGGTTAGAGCGATGGACCTGTAATTCGGAGGCCTCGCGTTCAAGTCCTGCCCTGACCTCTAGCTGGATTTATTCATTTTAGTCCCGAGTTTAAATCGTCTGCGTCGCTTGTAATGTAACCAACTGGTTTGCCTCCTGCCAGTTGGGATTTTAAACCTTGTACAAACGTCTCATTTAAATTATTTGTTTTATTATCCCTGAAAAGCCCCATAAGGGAAGAGGATATTAAATCTTATTTTGTTTTGTGGGCTTAGTATTAGTGTCTTTTCTGTTTTTTGTTGTACGTCATTTGGTGATCATATCCACCTTTTACATTACCTACCCCGGCGATACTCTACTGCAGCGCAATAAACAAGCGTACAATCCAGTGCTACATGCAGTAGCTGGCATAAGCTGCCAGTATTCTGACATACGCCACAACACAGTGGCTAACTTATTATTAAATAAATAACTTTTTCCTTAAAGTTGTTTCACTTTGTTCTACCACCTGTTTTTTCTTTTCTTTCTCACCACTCATCGCTTCCTGTCGCTTGGGGCGTTCGAGAGAGAGACGTCTTCGTTTTGGACCATTAGATTTCATACCGACTACTTATCGCTCTCGGGGAAGGCACGAGGCAGCCGTCAGACGGCTGTCTTTGCATGTTACTTGCGTAGTGCATAGTGGGTAGTGCGTGTGTGTTTCGTTTTGTTCTCCCCTTTGTTCAAAGCATGAGTAACTATAATTCAAATCCAATAAGGAAGTCTTGGGTATAGACCTTCATGTCCTCTTGACACTCTCTTGCCCCTTTCACTTTTTTCTTTAATTATAAACGTTAAAAAGGACGCAAATTCAAATGGTAATAAGTAAGTAGGTAACAGTAGTTATCTGTAAGTCCATCAGGATAGAGTTGGAATTGAAACTTTTCTTTTTTTGGCGCAGGAGTTTGAGGAAGACGTGGAGACATGGCGAGGAAGTATCAGTGCTGTAAATCAGTGCGGTGATCACTTATTTCAAGAGTTTCCTCAATACGAGTCCGGAGAACTGAAAAACTCCATGTCAGAAGTCAATGAAAGATGGACTAATATAACAAACAGGTCCAAAGCAAAAGCCACTTTTTGTTGGTTTGTTTCTTTCTTTGTAGTTAGCAGAAGTTATCGTCTGTAGAACATTTCTGGTTTGTATACAAAAACCATGATCTTTTTATTTATTTATTTATTGAAATGTGTCACCGTGAATCAACGCGTTGACTGGAAGTAAAACATGACATGTGTCCAAACTGTTATTACTCCCCTTTATTACCCAATCATCCTATAAAATGGGCTGTCAACACCACCCGGGCCTACGTCACACTAGAATCAGAACAATGAAAGATTCGTGGGACGGGCCCACGGTAGCACTGACATTCAACACATTCCCTTCAGTTATTTTAAGTTCCTGAATGTTGGTCCGGCCGCGAAAATTCAACGGTTTTATGGGAGCTGGCCTATATTCTTTTGTTGTCCTAAGAAGAACAAATTAAAATATGCAAGTTATCAAAAATGGTAGCATTTTAACCGTTCCCTTTTTCCCTTCGCACGTAATTGTTAAATTAGTTTTAAAGGCCAACTTTTGTTTCATTTGGATTTCTTCAGATCTGACTCTCATAAAAAGAACCTTAAGGAAGCATTTGACCGCATGGTTCGATTCCACGAAGACATGATCAACGCCCTCACATGGCTGACATCAGCGGAATCTAAAGTAGCTGAGTTGGACAGTGCAGTTGAAGCCACGAGTACTGAGGAACAGCAGGATACGGAGGCACTTAAGAAGGAACTGAAAGTAACAGATACTTCTTCTTTGCATGAATTATACTAGGGCTTTTTTTGTGAAACTAGCAAGTTTCGTTAACAGAAGACAGCTACTTATTCTTGATTATCTGTTTCTTTTTATTGGCTCGGAGTTGACTCTCTTATATATATATATATATTCGCTTTTTTCATTTTCTGTCCACTAACGTTAACGCATCTTGATTTTAAAGTTGACCAATAACCCATAAGCATGACCAGCAAGCCCAGCCGCTTGACTCGGATTAAAGCTTGCTTAAGGCTCTTCTGGTTGGCAAGGAAAGTCTCATTAGCATAGACTCTTTCGAGTTGAATGTTTGCCAATTTTCCCTCTTAATTTTCGTCGCAAAGCCTGGATTGTCCAGTCAACAACAACAACATACACAAACAAATAAGCAGATTATGTAATAGAAGCAAAACACAAGGCGAGCCATGCCGAGTGAAAATTACAAAGTGTCAGCTTGCACATAGAATTTGTAAAATAAGTTAGAAGTTTACTAGAATTACGGTTATAAAATCGTGTCAAGTATTCGAAATACTAGAGATGTGAAGGTTTCTTTATCATCAAAGATCATCAAATGTGATCGGCTAAACTCTCCGATTTCAGGCCTGACCGTTCAGTACAAAAGACAATTTTCAAAATACATCATGCAAAAGTCAAAAAGTCAACTAAAAACACCTGTTTAGCAGCAGGAAGTATCTACTGATCACAAGTTGAAGTAGGTGGATTAAAATGTCAAGAACAGTAAGAATTAAACAACTAAATTTATTTATCAGAATGAACCAAGTAAGACTGAAGGTAAATCTAAGCTTAAACTTTCATAGTTTGCATTTTTATGGTTACGCACCAGTACTTGCTCCCTTTTTTGTCATCATTTGTAGTTAACAGCCACAGAAGGGTATATCATCAGTAGTCACAAGCAGTCTTACTAACACTAAACTAAACTACTGAGTGTTTGGAGTTCAAATTTTGATTGATTAAAAATTTGTAAACAGGTTCCTTTAACTCGGGTTGGTTCAAACCAATTCTTAACCTGGGTTACTCAACCAAATGTGAATCTCTTAGCTCGGTTCTGTCTTTGCGAATGGCACGGAGTTAGTATTGTAGACATGGCTTGTAAATTAGGAACCATGTTTGTTTTCTCGGGACCTTAAGGATAATAGTAAATACGTATCATATAACTGATTGTTTGTTTGTTTTGTTTTGTTTTGTTTTGTTTTTCTAGTTTCTCGAGGACGATATAAATGGACACCAGGAAATGTTCGCTTCCTTGAATGAGAACGGACAACTAATCATGGCTGAGATGGAGACTGGTGACGTGCTTACAGCTGTACAAGCCAAACTTGACGACATGAATGACAGGTGGCAATCTCTTAACGTTCGCACGTTAGACATCCGTGATCGACTGGAGGACACTGGTACCGAGTGGCGGCAGCTGCTGATGGACCTCCAGGAAATTATTGATTGGATAGCACGTGCTGATCAGGAGCTTACACTACAGCAGCCAATAGGAGGAGACCTAGAGAGCGTACAGCACCAAAACGAGAACCACCAGGTAACCACCGGTCTTTTAAGAGTTGTTCCAATTTCAGTTTCCGCCAAACCCACCACTCATCGGCCCGCATTGTGTCGGCTAGCTTGTTTACTTGATCTACTCCCCTTCGCCGCAATTCTTAGACACCGCTTTCCTAGAGTTATTTTGTTGTTATCGTCGAAATTATTTGACGTAAATGTAAAGAGATAAAATGCGCCCCGCTTATAAATTAGCCACTAATTTTAACACCTGGTTGGCTCTGTTGGGAAAGCGCCGGTCTGCTGAGGGTGAGGTCACGGGTTCGAACCTCGGCCTGACCAACACTCAGGGTCTTTAAATAAATGAGAAGAAAGTGCTGCCTTTGTAACGACATCTGCAACAGTTAGACTTTCTAGTCTTTTCTGATAAGGAAGAAAAACCGTTGGTCTCGTCCCTCAGCACTGGCACTCATCTGGTTCTTGTGGGACGTAAAAGAACCCACACCACTGTCCGAAAAGAGTAGGGGACGTAGACCTCGGTGTTGTGGTCAACCTTCACACATCACATCATTCACATCATGGGTTGGATGGGTACAGTAAGCTCATAAATGGACTGATAGCGGCTGCCAGTGGCGCCTTTGTATGCTGATGTCCGAGCTTGCTCTTCACATGTTAAAATGTATTGTAAGAGGGTACGTCTGTTGTCCTCTCATCCACGACTCTTCCTTCCTTCCTTCCTTCCTTCCTTCCTCTTCCTTCCTTCCTTCCTTCCTTCCTTCCTCCCTCCCTCCCTCCCTCCTTCCTTCCTTCCTTCCTTCCTTCCTCCCTCCCTTCCTTCCTTCCTTCCTCCCTCCCTTCCTTCCTTCCTTCCTTCCTTCCTTCCTTCCTTCCTCCTTCCCTCCCTCCCTCCCTCCTTTCCTTCCTTCCTTCCTTCCTTCCTCCCTCCCTTCCTCCCTTCCTTCCTTCCTTCCTTCCTCCCTTCCTCCCTCCCTCCCTTCCTTCCTTCCTTCCTTCCTTCCTTCCTTCCTTCCTTCCTTCCTTCCTCCTCCCTCCCTTCCTCCCTCCTTTCCTTCCTTCCTTCCTTCCTCCCTCCCTTCCTTCCTTCCTTCCTTCCTTCCTTCCTTCCTTCCTTCCTCCCTCCCTCCCTCCCTTCCTCCTTTCCTTCCTTCCTTCCTTCCTTCCTTCCTTCCTTCCTTCCTTCCTTCCTTCCTTCCTTCCTTCCTTCCGTCCTTCCTTCCTTCCTTCCTTCCTTCCTTCCTTCCTTCCTTCCTTCATTCATTCAGAGGCAACAAGAGAAATTGCCTCACGTGCGCGATAATTTGAAAGTGTTGCTCCAGGATTACCACAGACAGATTTCCTGCCACCATACCAAAAATTAGTCAGGTAGTAAATAAATAAATAGTAAATAAATAAATAGAGAAATAACTGAAATTGTGCTCCTTCTATAGGCGTTCAAGGGAAAGCTTAATGTTAGGAGACTGGTAGTGGATCGGGCTTTGGACTCTGCACGAAGAGTGATGGATGAATACGAAGCCGAAAGATCTCCTGAGCAACCAAAGGATTCTCCTCGAGCACGCATTGCGCAGAACCTTAAAAGGCAGATCGATACTGTGAGTGAACGCTGGTCGATGTTGAGCCACCGATCAGAGGATTGGCAACAATGGATTGATGAAGTCCTCAGGGTAAGCGCTTGTTGCTTAGCGAGAAAATCTGCCAGGCTTTTGTGCCCTGCCCAATTTGTTGACGCTTTCCTCATAATTCCGACAACAGGGTCTCCTATAAAAGCCTTAATGTGAGCCCCTAATACTGAGCACGCGTTTGCAATCGTCGCTAGCGAGTAGATTAGTAGGAATGGTTGAATATGGGAGACGGTAGCTTGCTTCATCAGTTAGCGGCACATATCAATCCCAAATCTGTTACCTACTTCCTTTCTTCCACGCGGAGAACGGACGGCGTCTGCGTAACGCAGTCGCTAATTGTGTCCCGGTTTCTCAAGATCTTCTGAAAGGACGTGATTAGCTGCTTAGCCTCGCAGTGAGCATTTCTAAAAAAGATTCTGATTGGATAATCTAATCTAATCTCATAATGTGTGCGGTGATTTATCCTCCTTGAAAGTGAATTTAGTGGGAAGTTTTCAAGAAAGAACAAATCAAAAGCTCGGCTTTTTCATTAATCTACAAGACGGGCGACAGAAATCTCGTACTAGGCCGCGGATAATTTAATGCGTAGGAGCGATTTGTTTTCTTACAATTCACTGAGTATCCAACTTTTGTCTTTTTGTCTTCTTTCCACGTAAGGCAAAGGAAATAGGAGATTAGTTAAAAAGGACATTAACGGGACCTTCGGAAGAGTCTGCATTATAAAAGTGTCCCTCTGAAGTTCATTTTACAGAAAGTATAAGGATAATAGTTTCCCCTTGCATGTTTGACTCTGTGTTGGTTAAACTACATATCAATTAACACGAGAATGAGTCTTACTCGATGTCCAGACACAGTTGAAACAGTGCGGGTGCTTTGATAAAGCTGCTTCCTAAATCTTAAAGCTTCCACCAAGCGATCGTGAAATGTTATTCTATTTTGCATCCGATTTTCAACCTTCTACATGCCAGAGATTGACTGTTCAAGCGTTTTATTTCAACCTTGAATTATTACAGAAAGAGTGATAGAGCGCAGTGAAAACTGAATACACCAAACAATATCTTTTTAACACCCCCTTGTAGCTAGCCTCCCCGCAGACGTCCTTTGGGGTTCGTTTGTCACGCATTCATTTCTCCCCCACCTTGTAGCTCTCAAATGCGCTCTTTTGCAACTGTTTGAACCGAGGCAGTCGGGATTATTAACAATTATTCCTCGAGCCCGGGCTATTGACTTAGAGGCCATGAGGGCTAGAGGAATAATTGTTTTAGTAAAATCCAACTAGTTGGTCAAAAATATCGAGAATAAAAAAAAATTTAAGCTAGTTAATGCTAGACTATACTCCTCTTTTTGCCGCCAAAAAGCCCGTGCTTTTCGCTACTAGTGGGCTATAACATATAGCCTAGTAGTAGCTCAACCAATCAGAACGCAGCATTGATAATAGACCACTAGCTGGATTTTACTAAAACATTTTACACTTCAGATGAAGTACTTGACGCTGCATCAGACTTGCTTTAGTTCGTCTGATGCACCTAAGCTACTAAGTTGAATTGTCACGCGATGACTACGCCCATCAATATCCGGCTTTGGATATCATATCGTCCACATGTCAAGCGAACAATACAAGTTCATAGTTCACTTTTAGTTCAACAAGTGTACATATTAATTAAGTGATTTAGATCAGATCGTTAAATACTGTTCCTCGTTTACGCACCTCCGTCAGGTCCCAAAATGGTGAGTTCCTTCCTTGCGATAGTTAATTGTATAGTTCTTGGTGTGGTGGGCTTTAAATAATAGCTTAAAGGGTAAGGAATGTAATGAATGTTAAGTTGTTTTTCATGGAACAAATACCATCGCTTATAATTTCAGCCTCCTGCAGGCAGTGTCATTAACAAATTAAAGTGAGCGCGCTATCTATAGGGAGGGAGGCGAGATCAGACTAAACTCAATTTCAACTGATTATCTGCAATACAAAGCGTACTCTACCTGTGTATGAGTAAACATATTTATAACTTAACCTTGGATTACAACCGTATGTCGGAAAACACAGTAGTCAAATTGTTTTCGATCTCGAAAGCAACAACCTTGTTAGACTGTCTGCAAATCCCTTAATGTCAATCGCCGATGGCAGTTAGTGTCGCCGAGGTCCAAGCAAATATGTGATTTGAATTAAACACAGGGCCCAGTTGTTCGAAGGCCAATTAGCACTTAACCCGGAGTTAAATTTAACCCCAGTTTCTTTTTCTTGTGTTCAAAAGCGTTTTTTCGGATAATTTTCTCTGTTATTTTTAGAGCTTCCAATCACCAACTTGTAGACAAAAAGAATTAAAACTGAAATGCTTTTTATGCTTTCAAATCTGAATTCAAATCTCGCACTAACCCTGGGTTGTCTCAACCTAGCTTTGAAGAACTCGGCCCAGAATCATTGAACGTCGAATGACTTGTGCAGCTTCGGCAACTGCTTAAACATTCGATGAAATAAAAAAATTAAAAAAGAAAACATAAAATTGTAATATTAATAACAGGTAAACAATAACAATTTTGAAACTAGTAATAAATTTCAAGGTCTAATAATTAATAAATTTCAATGTCCATCATTATTTTTGATAATTCGTCATTTATTTAATACAAATATTGACCTTGGGGAAGAAGATATCGGTACACTGCCAAAACGTTTTATCGAAAACGTGCTATAACTGTTGTTGTTGTTGTTGCCTTAGGGGAGTCGATCTGTCACGCGCGCTAGCGCAGGTGTATAGAGTCACGTTGTTAGAGCTGAATTTTCTACGTAGCTTCACTACTTAATTTTTTTGAAAGAAGGGTTGAGTTTCCTGACTTAAGGTGGGCAAGTATTTCGGTGTGCATCCGTCTTCCTTTGTTCTTAGCTTTTTATCCTCTGACGACAGAAGCTTTGCAAATCGACATCAACAACTGAGTCAGGCCTGACTGCCGACAAAATTTGTGCTCGCTGCAAAATAAATAGAAATATAGTAAAATTCATATTTGGCTCCGAAGCTTGGGGAAGAAAACAAAAGAAACTACCTTGAGCCTAAGGTAATTTCCCCCAAACCTCAGAGCCAAGCATTAATTTCAATAGGGTAACCGTGAAGTGCCAAGGGACTGGCAAAATTTGTTCGCTATGGCGAGGTTTCCTTAGACATATCGAGGTAGTTTTCCATGGTTTACTATTACTGGGGTAAAGAAAACTGTTCGTTATACCGAGGACTGCGTTATATAGAGGTTCGTTATATTGAGGTTCCACTGTATATCGATTTTGTTTAGTGTAACTGTCAGCTTGTATTTGAATTTTTGTCTGATGTCTAGTCAGACACATATGAAGGGAGTCGTAAAACCAAATTATTATTATGCACGGTATATACAGAATAATTGAATAAGGAAACAAGGATTAACCATCGGCTAAAAAAGGTCCGACTTGTTTAATTTAAGCAAATTTGTCAGGGTTTGACAGTGATACCATATTATAGTACCCGGTATTATATTGTCACTTTTATTGTCGAGGTAAACAACACCAGACGAGGCAACTGCGTAAATGTTCATTTCACTGTGCCACGTTTAAGGGGTTATAGGCCTCTAAAGATATGAATTTCAAACTAGCTTAAAAGTAAGAATAACCTGTTATCGCATTAGAAACAGCCTTATTTCTACTTAACATAAAGGAACTCGTTAACATTAAAGGCAAGCGCATCGGAAGTGATTATTTTATCTCAAAATAAAGTTGCAAAGGAAAGCACTCTGTGCCATATATGATGTGTTGATGTAGCTCCCTTAGCGCTGGGCAATCGTGTTTTATAAAAGGTACTTTCCAGGTTATTAGAATTTCTTAACCTTCAATGGCAGTGATATCTTGAGTACTTTTTTTTAAAGCTATGATTTACTCAAATCAAGTGGCGGAATTGTTAAGAATTGAAAAATTTAAGCCATCCCAACCAGCACCACCCTTAATATCCTTTTTACTGGATTAGCAGCTTAATCCTATCGTTTTTCTTTTGTGGCTGCCGCTTGTTGTGAGATTGGTAGAAGTTTTTGCTCATGAATTAACTCGTTTAACTCCCAAAGAGCAATTTCCCTGAAACAAAACCATTTACAACATTTTCCAGTCGAGATTCAAATTAGGATCGTGCTTCCTTCAGCTATAGAGCAAAGTGTCATTCCGAAGCGCTGATTTCAGCTGGTTTGTTTTTCTTTGTAGAAGTTGCAGCTTTTCCTAAGTCAAATGGAGGAAATCGATGCACGACTTGTTGAGGCTGAGCACGTTAAAGCAACTTGGACACCAGTGCAGGATCTGATCATCGATTCTTTGTCAGAACAAATAGATGAGCTTAAGGTAACGGCGGCAATCTTGCTTAGACCGCTTGATAAGAATTTTTTCCTCTGGTTGTCCTCATTTCCCTCAACTCACAAGATCGTCGAGTGGGTTGTAAAAATGCTGGTTCGTTTCGTGCGTTGCGGACAGACGTCTTGGATTTGCCAGGGTGAATTAAGACGGAATCCATCAGGAAATTGAGTTATTTTAATTTTCAGTGGACAAACACATTGTACCAGAATAATTTAAAGCATATTTCATTCTTTTTTACATTTTTCAAGGGCTACAGATGTAACTAGTAATGTGCAATAACGACAAAGAAAATGTCGTATGGGGGCCCGAGAAAATTAATGTCAAACTTAACAAAATGACAGCTTGCGCATGAAATTTTCAGAATTTTACCAATGTTTTCACAATTCTTGTGAAATTTGACATTCATTTTCTCGGCCTATCTAGTGAACTCCATTTGTTTTTGTCCCAGTACTGATCGTCAAAATGTTTCCTTTGTGCAGAATCTCCAAGAGCGAGTCGCATCTCTTCAGAACATGTTTGAGACTCTTAGCAGCACCGAAAGCGAACTAAGACAAAAGGGCGTGTCAATCTCTCCCAGTTTACAGAACCGGATTGACCAGTTATACCGGCGTTGGAAGCAGCTGCAGATTCAGCTCCTACAAAGACAACATGCTTTACAAGAAGCATACTCCAGCCTTGACTTGTCATCTATGCCAGGACTTCTTGGTCAGTAGATCATGGTAGCCAAGCTACATTGCTAATTCTTGTACATAGTATCAGACAAGTTATCATTTAAGAAAAAAATTGTTTTGTAGTATTTAAAATATCCTTCACTGAAAATACTAAGTGCTTTTATAGCAGTATAAGCACCTCTTACTGAAAAATGCCGTCCTACTCTTGAGAATTTTGTTCGGCACAGACTCAACGGTTCATAGTTTTCACTTGATACAAGGTTCAAACTTTATCCAACACTGGACGTTTTCCAACGTTGTAAGTCTGTCAGCAGGCGTTTGTCGTGTCAGAGAAAATTGCAAAACAATTCTTGATTCTCAACTTTAAGCATAACTTTCTTTATTAAGCACAAGTGGAAATTCGGCTTGTGCTTAATAAATAACGTGTTAGTTCCGCATTATATTTTTGCCGACAGGAAGTGTAGAGCCACCATGGGAGCGAGCTGTAGCACTAAACAAAGTGCCTTACTATATCAAGTAAGTTATCGCCCGCTATTATTTATCACCCACTTTATAGTGATTCTTACTAGTACAGTGTGTATTCTATTTGCGTTTGTTTCTAGTCTGGTTTACGTCGAATCGACCCTTTATAAGCATAAGGTAAAGGTCATCACAAAATCGTTGATAAAAATGTAAATAAAATTAAAATCCTTAGGCTTGGGTAAAAGAAAGAGAGAAAAATGTTCAAAACAATGCTTGAAACGTGTCTACTTTATCTTTCCAATCACATTTGTGATTTCTCCCCCGCTAAAATCGGTGTCCAACTCATGTTTAATTGTTCTGGAGCCTCTGACACATAAAACTGCTGATCTTAATAGGTTAAAACATAGTTATAATAGTCATAATACTCATGATCTGAACGAAACACTGACTCAGGCCACTCTGTGATGAAGGTTTGTGGCGTGTTAATATTGTTTCAATTCCATTTCAGCCATAAGACAGAAACAACGCAGTGGGACCACCCGAAGATGACGGAACTTTATCATCAAATCGGTGCGTCGACAGTGCTAGGTCTGATCTTATGTATTGTTTTGAAGTCAACGTAAATAGTTTATAATCTTGTAATCTCCTTTTCTAGCCGAACTAAATAACATCAAGTACAGCGCCTACAGAACAGCGATGAAGCTGCGATGTATCCAGAGGGCTTCCAGCCGTAAGTTTGCGTAATTTGTGGTGTATTTTTTTTTTCTTTTTTTCTCTTCAGTACCTTTCTCCAGTTGTCTTCTTTAATACTGTGACCACAAAGATTACCAATTTTGTCCTTTATTTTGAATTTATGCGGACTGCCTTGGACACGTCTGATACCGCTATAGGTAAGAGTTTTAGTGTAGCTTTTTGTGGCGAGGTTTACAAGCAGAAGCCTGAAAGGGCAAGTTACTCTGTCATTCCAGCATTGTGAGTGTTATTTGTAAACTATTTTATTTTTCATGCTACTTCTAGTAACGTTGACCAACCCCATTTGAATTAAGTAACAGGCTTACATTGTACCTGTTATTTGTATTGTGTTTTTCAGTTGATCTTGTAACGCTGACCAACATCCTTTCCTCCTTGGACCAGCACAATCTTAAAAACGCTGCTAACGAGGCTCTGATCGGAGTTCCGGAAATGGTGAAGGTTCTCTCTACTGTATACGATAACATCGAGATCCCTGCAGACAGCTCAATGATCAGCAGTGAATTCTGTGTGGACCTGACCCTTAACTGGCTGCTCAATGTTTATGATAGTGGACGAGTTGGAAAGATCCGTGTACTATCATTTAAAATTGGTCTCGTTACGATGTCGAGGGCTCATTTGGAAGACAAATATAAATGTATGTCGGTTTGCCTTTCTTTCCCTACGCAGACTAATTAGTTTCCTCTGCGATGTAAAGTCATATGAAGATCAGCGTTGGGTAAGAAATTCGTCCTATTTCTTAGAGATCGTTTTTCCCTGCAGATATGTTCCGGCTGGTTGCGGACGGAAATGGCGTCATGGATCACAAAAAACTTGGACTTCTGTTACACGATTCTCTGCAGGTAAGTTAGAAACGCTAAAACAAAGCAAAGCATCAAGGACTTGATAAAAGCAGTTTCATGCCTTTCTTAGTTGTTGTTTTTGGCTGATGCAAAATGTAAATGTGTTCTTTTTTAGATTCCTCGTCAACTTGGAGAGATCGCGTCTTTTGGTGGTAGTAACATTGAGCCGAGTGTTCGGAGCTGTTTCTCAAAGGTAGGAAAATTCCTCTTGTGTTAGTGTGACTAATATACGTAAAATGTAGAAACAGACACTGTACTTGTCGTTTCTATTTTTAAATAACCAACATGGTATTTAAGTTCATTTTTTATTAGGCCAGTCTCCTGTGTCCATTTCTTAAGTTTAAAACGATTAGGCAGAGAGAAATACAGTTTTTCCTTGGTTCTGCCGGGAGGCTGTTCAACTGTCGGCAGCTCTCTTGCTTCCTTTTCTTCATACAAGAAAGCCATTGGTGAATTGCAGTCGAGCCCTGCTTAATATGGACTCCTCATTTTTACGGACAGTTTTCAACACTCTTTTAATACGGACACCTTTTTTAATGCGGACATCAAGCACTTATTTCTTGCCGGCCAATGAACAGAATCTCCTAGAAAGTCAACCTCGCCAATGCCGACACATTGTTAACTGTGTACTTTAATGGACCTTTCCTTTTTAAGGGAAAAGAAAACCTTAAGTGGACAGCATGCATGTCGATGTTCCCGGCGGCGCTACATTGCACCAGATAGAATGAACTGTAGACGTCAATTTCATCCTTCATAGCGGACACTGTAGGACCTCGAGTCAGTGTCCTTATTTGCCAGAGTCCGTAATAGCGGGAGTTTATTTCAATCAAATGTCTACAATTTATTTTTGCCTGAGATTTAGTTGTTGCCCGTATTATTGGGGTGTCCGTTATAGCGTGGCATCCCCAAGGCGAGAGTTGACTGTATTTTGGAATCAAGCGAGTCGTAGAGAACGGTTTTTTGTTGAAGTAATGTTTAAATGAGTGATTTGTTAGTGTTTTCGTGGATTCAGTCAGCGGAATGACGGCTTTGTCAAGGTTAGGGATGTTAAATTGTCCTCTGTTATTTCTTCATTAGTATTTTGTTCTAATAAAACGTGTCTTTGACGTAAATGACATGACCCGCCTTACATGCGGGACCTGAGCTGTATTGCCGCTTCAGTGTCCATATGAACGGGGTTCAGTTCTGTTTTACTGTTAGACCAAGATGGTGCTTCTCAATCGACTGGCACAGAAAAAAACGAATCAGTTGTCCTTAGTTCCACGTCATTGTCACTCCATAAGGTGCGTGCGCACGTCAATTTTTCGCGCGTAATTAAATAGAGGCAATGTGTGGCAGGTCACGCGTAAACGTAAAAGTTGAACCTCGCTCAACTTTTAGGTTTATTGCTTTGCACGGAAAAATTACCCGACAGTGGAAATCAACCCTTTTTCGTTCATATTACGACAGAATAGGCCCGTATAGAGGAGTCGTAATAAAGTGTATGTTATCTTATGATATGTTACGTTCATTATTCTTCAACAGGCTGGTGAAAAGCAAACGATTGACTGCGCGGAGTTCATAGCGTGGCTGTCAGAGGAACCTCAGTCAATTGTTTGGCTTCCTACTCTCCACAGAATGGCCGCTTCAGAAGCCGGTAGGTCAAGCTAGCTTAGCTACAAAGTTTGAGCTCTCGGTTTCCGTCGGTAGTAAGTAGGCTAGCTTAGTTGTAAGTAACGCAAGCTCAGCTGGTAACACTAGCCTTGTCGGTAAGTCACGCTAGCTTAGCTGGTAAGTTACGCTAGCTCAGCTGGTAAGTAATGCTTGCTTAGTTGGAAAGTCACACTAGCTTAGCTGGTAAATAACGTTCGCTTAGCTGGCAAGTCACGCTAGCTTAGCTGTTACGCCATGTTTACTTGGTGAAGTAATAACGTAACCTGATAAGGCACTCTAATTTCATTTGAACGCCAAAAAAAAAAAAAAATGCCCAGCACGAAAAACTAGTCTTTCACAATCTCCGCCTTCAAAAATTTCTTGCCATACGATAATTGTCGCCAGCTGGTATTAAACTAACTTAGCTGGTAAGTGTCGTTAGCTTAGCACGGCTTGTGAATCACCCCAACGTTGCAGTAGGTCACACGAGCTTAGCTGGTAGACTTCCTTACTTCTTCAGTCAAGCTGGCTAAACGGAAAACGTTAAAATGGCTTTCATTATAACTATCATTCTTGTGAATTTTATCCATATACCCGATTTTGAGCCCAATATTTAGTAACTGCGTTCGAACCAATAGCAGTCTAAGCTTTTGCTGGTGAGCGCCGCAGACATTTTGGTTTTGTTCCAAGCCGTCATTTCTATCAGTTTGTTTACTACTTTTCACATGTATTAACATGTGTTCCTTTTATTCTTTCTTACAGTGAAACATAAAGCTAAGTGCAGTATCTGTAAAGAGTATCCTATTGTCGGCTTCAGGTTTGTAGTTTGTTTCCATTGCCTCTGCTGTGGTTGACGTTCTGCTGATAATAGAGTATAATCTCTTTGCACAATGATAGCCCGTGACTTAACATACATTTTCAAAGCTGCGTACTAGTTAGTACAGTGGGAGTTAGTTGTACAAGCGTATTTTTTTTTCTCTTTCTCTCTTTAAAAAGAAGTAAAGAGGAGTAAAGAATAATAAATAATCAGTTGCATGTCTTTACCATAAATTGCAGATTCCGGTGTCTTAAATGCTTCAACTACGATTTATGCCAGGTAAGGTGAACTATACAGAAAGGGTTGTTTTGCTAGGCAGAAGCTTTCAGATATTCAGATTTGCATACATTTTTCTACTGTTTATACTTTAAAAAATCTTAAAAACAAATAAACGTGGGGCATCGCAGTTGTAAAAATTTAAACAAACACAGATCCACTTCTCTGTTTCTCGGAAAGGATCATGATGTTGTTCCTGTGTGTTTTGTCACTAGAGTTGCTTTTGGTCGGGCCGAGTCTCTCACGAGCATCGCCTCACTCATCCAATGCATCAGTACTGTTTATCGGTAAGTGTCTTTGTGCTGTTTATAAACTGGAAACGGGTGACTTCTGCCGGCTGCTGTGCGGGTCCTATCCAGTTATTAGCTACTTTGTCTTATTCTCCCCAGCTCCTCTCTCCCTCTCTTGGACGGCTGAGAGGTGATCAGGGTTGTTACCAATTAACCATCTTGTATTCGTATTTTGCTTTCTGAAGACAACTTCTGGTGAAGATGTCCTTGATTTCTTCGCGATGGTCAGAAACAAGTTCAAGAAAAGACGATACAAAAACAAACCGCCAAAAAAACTTGGCTATTTACCGATTCAGACAGTAATGGAAGGAGTTAACCTTGAGACGTAAGTCATTCGAATGTTTTCCAACTTTTTATGTTTTCCCACTCTTCTACTGTGCAGAGTATTAGACTAAGCAATGAGCACAAATTGAAATGTGTAAGTAATGAATTCATTGGGCGTTTTTCCTCCCCGATTTTTGTCCCTTGGGCTTTTAACTGAGGGTGCCCTCATGGTGTACGCACGTCTAATGAGAGTAACATACTACGCACTCTAAAACTGACAATGCTATCGAACTTAGTACAATTTCTTACTGCCCAACACCGGCTGTATTGTCTCATAACAACGGTTGCTGCTTCCTTTCGCTCCGTATGCGGGTTATTCCATCTACTGACTGACTTTTGATAAATGAGCACTCCATTTTTGTTCTTTTTGATGCGTTTGTTCAAGTGACTTTTTCTGGCTTGCATGTATCAGTAATCTTTGTCCTCTGTAATTTGCATGTGTTTAATCTTTGTACGGGACAAAGTTTTTTTATTGATTTAGAATCAGGAGATTTATGACGCTCCTTGTCTTAGAAAGAGCTATTTTTTTATTCAGGACTTACTCTGCGCAAAAGAGAATTTTTTTTTTCTTGTTCATTTGAGTGTGGTTAGCAAAAGTTTTTCCTCTCTCGGTTTGTATGTCAATTCATTCCTTTGCCGAATTTGTATGCATTTTAATATTATTATTTTTCGACGGCAGGCTGATTCGTAAAAGTGTTTAATGCCCTTTCTCTTCTACACGGAAGGGGATGGAGAAGGAGAAACTTGTTGGTTTATTTTGTGTAGTTCATGTTTAAATAATTTTTTAACTCTCTTATTTCGTTGTGTAATGTTTGATGTTGTTCTCTTCATGAAGCCCATCAATGCTGTCACCTCAGCAGAATGTTAACCATGAAGTTCATAACAGACTCGGCATGTTCGCTCACAGGTTAGTGGTCAGTTTACCCTTAAGCTGTTCCCCAGTTTAGAGTTTAGAGTCTTAAGTCAGATAGCGGTGTTGTATTAGTTGTTGAATCTTGTTATATTTTTTAAATCAAACCCCTTCTGGCGAAGTCGTATTTTGCATTACTTTTTCTTGCTCTTTTGACTCGGACATCAGCTGGATGTATTGTCTGTTTTTTTTTTGTTGTTGTTGTTTTGTTTTTGCGTCGCCTGTACAATTCACAACTATAAATATATATTTTTCTGTCGTCTTTAAGGTTGGCAGAGGCAGAATCGGAGAGTGGAAAATACAATCCGCACGACTTGTAAGTCACACACGTTCTTTGCACGTAGGGGAAACGTTTCGGTTTTTATTGTTTCTTTTTCTCAGAACTTAAGAATTTAATATTGTCGTACGGTTAACAAACTGAAATGAATATAGAAGTACACAAAATGACCGTCCTGGAATGATTCCAGTTACCGGTTGGACCGGCGCTCTTATCTCTGAGCAATAAATGACCCTTAGATTGTCACATGTTTTCGCATCTCGTGAGTACATTGGATACTAATCAAAGCATCTCACTCACTAAATTATCTGCTTCTCGCAAAAGCATTTAAATAAGTTCTCTGTTGCGTTCACTTAACAGATTTAGTGAACCATAACCTGAAATATTGCTGTGCTTTCCACACGCATGAGTATAATGATAAAAACACTTGAAAGTATGGACTTTGACTCTCCGTGTTGCCTGTCATGACACGTTCAAATCTGTAAAGGGAACATAGTGTTTGGCCACGTCTGTTTTCCAGTTGACTTATTTATATATATCATATATATATTGATATTCATATATGTTTGTTACATTGTTTATATAATTAGTTATTTATTGGTATTTCTGCTATTTTAGAGATGAAGAGCACCAGCTTATAGCACAGTACTGCCAAAGGTATAAACCGGTGTCCGCAGTCACCAACCTGTCCTAAGTTAAGATGGATGCTAAGTACTATTGCTATTGAAACAATCGTCATTTGACCGGAAACATTACTTAAGAGGCTTTATTTCGCTTTCATGACTGGCGGGAGCTGGCATTCGACTGACATTATATAGAGTAGTCACACATCGTTTCTTCTCAGAATAACGCCAGCGGGAGGTGGGGTTGGGGGGGACTCAAGTAACACCACATTATAGCGGCTGCGAATAAGACCAACTCGTAGACAATTTAGCTTTTACGAAATATTTGATTATAACAAAGTTAGTTGCGCTGAGCGTTCAACTAACTAGCTTATACCTCATTGCCCTTGTGAATTGTCGTTCATTTGTGGTGCTCGATGAATATTTGAACGGTCCACAGTATTGGTCTAATTTTGTCAGTTTTGTGTCCAGATCAGTTGTGTGTAGTTGTGTTTTACATATTGCATTATCACCTTACTTTTCTCAGTCGCCCTGACCACTAACTTTCGCTCAAGTAATCGATATTTAGGGCATGCACTTTAATACATTTATCTAAAATTGGTGTTGGTGGGATAGCCAGAGACAGGAGACAAGATAAAATCGTTAAAAAATTGAAATCATCAACGTAAAAATTTGAAAAGCATTGCTGTAAAAATGATGTTGAGAGTAGCGTACCTTGAAGACACATTTTACAAAGGGGATGTTACCAAACAAGCTGTATTTTACATAACTAATGAAATCCATGTTTCTATTGGCAGTTTTAAATACACCATTTTTTTTTCTTTCTTTGTTCCTTTACAGTCTAAAAAGTGATACTACTATTGCGGTAAGTGCCATAATAACTTACTATGAAGTGTGTATGCTAAACCGTTTAAACAATTTATTCACACTGTACAATGTCCATCGTGCCCTGTCCGAACGTTTGTCGCGTCCACATAGCGAACTCCGTTTACTTAATGCAGAACACTTAAACTCGCCGCACCAGTAATTTTGTATATTTATGGGTTTTAGCTTTTCATCCACACTTGTTAGATTGTGTTGTGTTTCATGAAACTGAATGGCTGACTGCCGACTGAAATAGTTTGATTCTGTGTCCTGTAGCCCAAAAGTCCTACTCAAATAGTCATGGCATTAGATGCGGTGGAAAAAGAAGATTTAGAGGCGGAACTACTTAAATTGGAGGAGGAGAACAGGTAGGAACTCAGAAAAGTCTACTTTAAATCACTTCACTGATTGAAAGTCCCTTAAAGGTATCTATTTTCATTTTGTCGTGGAATATTTTAAAGTAGTTTTAAACTTTTTGTTTTTCATTTATCCTTCTTATACTCAGGGATTTTTTAGTTTTAAGCCTTAAAGTTTGTAAGGCGTAGTAGATTATTTGTCATGACGTCAATCATCATTTATCAACAAAGCAGCACCCGCGGGATCACGGGACCACGGGACCAGTGTCCGCTTAAAACTGATTTTTGACTGGGGACTTGCTAATGATCACTTTATGTCAGTGTCCGCTTAATGGGGTATGCTGCAGGTCTTTCACTTTAAATATTTTGGACAAGTACGTTAAGTGTGATAAATGGTTTTTAGGGACCTTCAAGAGGAATATGAACGTCTAAAGTCGATCAGAGATCAATCTGGAGTTGCATCTGAGGACAGCAGCGATGCATCAACTGGAGGACAACAAAATCGTGACTCTGAACTCTTAGCTGAAGCGAAACTACTACGTCAGCATAAAGGTCGTCTCGAGGCTCGTATGCAAGTCCTAGAGGATCATAATAGACAGTTAGAGGCCCAATTACAACGCCTTAGACAACTCCTTGACCAGGTACACTTATTCTTAACTGAAGTGATGTTGGAATGTTTTGTTTTACTCATTGCATCGGTCTTGTTTTCTGTCAATGGCACGAAACCATTTTTACAAGAAGTACGGCAAACTCTGGCTCGCACCTCGTTGTCATGTTAACATCTACTGATTTCATTCTAGCCCGGCCAAGACAAAAGTGCGGCCCAGTCCTCCGAACGTACTACGCCGTCCTCTTCGATCAGTTCGCTGGGTGCAGACACACCCTACCCCCCTGGGAAGTCAGCCCGTTCAGGCAAAAGCCGCGGCAACGATAGTGATTCCGAGTCGGAACCCGGTGGAACAGCCGCTGTTACTTCCGGTTCCGCAACTAATGGATTTTCTGGACATGGAAGTGAGGATCCTGCTTTGAAAGAGGTTATGAGTCAAATCAGTTCTTCCTTTCCTGCCGAACAAAAAGGTAAGTCATCTGCTGGGGGCCTTTTCTATCCTCTGTTTCCGTGGTTAGCCTTTCGCGATTATACCCAAGTGTTGCAGTGTCGCAAGCCCCAGGCCAGCAACACGAACAATCGTGTTCCTTTTTTAACCATTCAAATTATCATCATTATCTCTAATTACTAGTCTCCTACGCAGCCGTGTGACTACAGAAACAACGACTGCTTAGGAGACCATGTCATTTATATCACCGTCATCTTAGTTCTTTAGAAAGGATTGGCAACGAAATGCGGAAGCTTTCTGTTGTCCTTTAAACTATTCTAATAGTCAGAAGGCTTCCGCATTTCGTTACCACTCCTTTCAAATCACGCATTTTCGTTCATTTTCTTTGTTGCACCGAGCCCCACTTTTTATAATAAGATGGTAGCTGTATAGTTCGTTCTTTGTTGTTTTAGATCGAAAAATGACTAATCCTATTAACTCTTGTGTAGTGTCGGCTGAGTCCTAACCACTGGAATCTAACACTGCATGGTTCTTCTTTGGTACGTAAGACATGGTTTGTTACGCAAATCTTGTCATCATTGTGTGACAACCCATAAGTCTTGGAACTTCTGTATTCCACTTACCTACGCATGCTTTCTGCTTTGTTATCACCGATTCACTTGCAAGTTGTGTACTTCACTCGTACTGTTTTTTCTTGCGTGTTGTGCCTGATTGTACGTTTGGCTATATATACATATCGTACTACACGTTATATTTGTTATACCGTGTTGAATTTGTAGTATAACCATGCAAGTTTAAAGTGTTACCCGTGGTACAGAGGCCAAGGGTGCCTGTGGCACAAGGTTGCCTGTTTTATGCGTGGTTTTTTGTTCATTTCAGGTACGGACCCTGTGGGTCACTTATTCGCCACCGCTAAAGACGTCAACAAAGCCGTGGAATCCTTAGTTCAAGTAATGACGTCAGATGACGAGGCAGATTAATAATTAAATTTATATTTAGGCGTTAGACAGATCAATAAATATTCGTCTGTACGGCATTTAAGAAAATTTTATTAAACTTTTGTTAAAGAAATTGCGCAGATACAGCATTTTAACTGGTGAGCATCTCTCTTCTAACGGTCTTGCGATATTTAACTAAGTCGTATTTAGTTTTTCTAAAAGACAACTCAGCCAGAAGGTCTCCCGTCAGGACTAACAAACTGGCAGAAGTAACCAGAGTAAACTAAGATTGTTACACGGCCACAAAGATTTGTTGCTGTTAATGTAAAGGCGTTGACGTTGTGTAGTCGTCAAAGGGAAATGTTTAGGGAGATAATTGATTCTATTCTGAATTAAAACAAAAGAATAGTCTGTTCTTATGAAACCGAGTAAATTTGTAGTATACATAGTATAAAGGTAGGCTTGTCATTGTATGTGCATATTCCTTACTGTACCCCGATTGAAATACACTAAAATGTTACTATTCCCTTCAATTCTCTTCCCTTGGGTGTAGGTAAAGTACGATGGGCGGCTTGGGTCATCCTTGGTGTAAAAGCCTGTGAAGTTTTTCTTTGTTTTCTAGCTATCATTTTCCTTGGCTGTATTGTGTTTTACGTCACTCGTGAGGTTCACAGGTTTTTACACTCAGTATGAGCCGACGGCTTACTGTCAAGCCATCGTCCTTAGTGGCCTGCTGACGACCTCAGACTTATTCTCAGCTTCTTCGGATTGCTAGACTTGAAGTCATTTTTTTATTTTTTAAAAAAAGAAAGAAAACGTTTGAAGTGCTTTGTTTAACTACACTCATTAGAAAATGTACCAACCTGCAATGTTGCACTATTCGGAGAGTTGAATATTCCGTCGTGTTGCGTCTAACGACAGCAGTAAACTTTCGAAATCCTTAACGATAATGGAGAATTTGTCAGATAACCCAACTTGGTTAAATAATGTAGTTCCTTCTTCCCTCTCCCGGCACGGATAAGACATCCCCTGCCTAGTCAATAAGCAGTTTTCGATTTTTCAATTAGTTTGTTTGGTTTGACTTTTGCTCTTTTCCCCTCTAATCGTGGGAGAGAAATATAAGCTATTGAAATTGGCCTGTTTGGAGGGAATGTTTTTGTTTTTTTCATTTTTCACTATTTTTAAATGAGATTTATTTCTAGAAATAAATGGTTTTATGCTGAATGTGACTGATCATTATTGTATTTCTCCAGCTACCAGCAAAGGAGGGTTTCCTGTCACTCGGGTGATTTGTCACGAAAGTGTCATTTATGTCACGGGTGATGTAAGTCACAGAAGTGAGGCACAAGGCCTCCTTCCTCGCATGACAAGACAGTGAGAAACATTTTTCCCTCCCTTCCCTCCGTGAGCTTTATTTTACCCTAGGGAGTAGCGGGTGTGCCCTCACCTTTGCTGGGATAATGTTCTTGTGTATCGGGTTTTCCAAGCGTTATATGCTTTAATTTAATAAACGGCCACTCCCGTGGCCAAAATATCCGACAATGGGTTTGTGATTATTTTGCGTCCCAGCAAACAGAGCTCACCCAAAGCAAGACTCTGCCAACATCAATAACTTTCGTAATATGTAAAGGAACATGAAGCATAAACAACTATTTTAAAAATTAAAAATTTATGAATACTTAAATCTCCTTTGCGTGAGGTTAGGCATTGTTCTGTCCGCTAAAGTCTAATTCCTGGACGCAGAAACGTTGTGCTTTTTGAAGTTTATTATTGTGCTTTGCCCTTTGACAACCCACAGGCGGCCCAGACGTCGTATGTGTCACAGAATGAATATATTAATATCCACATGGACAAATTAATGCGATGAGTCGTCGAAACTCCCATGGACTAAAATAGTCTAAAAGTCAAAATATAA